GCTTTCCTTTTCTTGGTGGTAACCGAACCATGGGACTTGGCCGGGATGGCCGCCATAATCTCTTCCAAACTGGAGTTAATAAGTTCGAGAAGGCTCTTTTCTGGTTCATCCATGATAGGAGCACAAATAATAAGAACAAAGTTAACCCGACAATAGTAAATACACCGAAAAACAAGACACGCGACCACGCAAGCCCGACGCCGAACGGCTACAGACACGCCGAACGGCTAACAACAGTACCACGTGGCGCAGAGCAGTTCTTTGTTAACGGCAAAAACTTTAAGTAAAATTATCTCGAAAACCGTTAAAGATAACTTAACAAAATTTTTACACGACAAAAGGAACAACAAAAGACGTCGGAAAACGACAAGAATAATAACAAATGGCTCGTATAAAGCCCGATTGGCCCGAACAATACACAAAGTGCTGACGCCCGTAACACAAAATCTACCGAACGAAAAATGAAATTGTTTACACTTACAGAGTCCTTTCTTAATGCCCTGTCCAACGGTATCTAAATTTCAGCAATCTACACAAAAATTCCGAAGTTACCGCGAACTGAAAACGGAGCGCAGAACCAAGCATACCAACACGTCCGACTTTCCGAGTCGACTCTAGGTTTAAGTACCTGAACAATCCTGGCGACTTTCCAGGGATCTGGGTACCATAAAGAAGGGATGCGTTATAAAGGTTAATTAACAATGTCCAAGTTTGCGTCGTCATCAGGGCAGAATGATTCGAGTTTTTTAGAGAAGACGTCAAGAAAAATAGCAGCGATGCGTGGACTGGTAGGCTTCGATACAGAATCTCCATCCTTCTACGTTTGTTAGTATAAAGCTTCGTAACAAAACCACGGGGATTTCTCGACGCGCCGGTGAAGTAATCGCGCTAACTTTTGACTTTTCCATTTTTAATAGCGTGTTTGCACGACTGAAAATTTACATTCAGTTTTGAAACAATACTTAAAAATTACAGAAGCTTCCTAAGTGATTGGCAAGCAAACATAATATATTTACAACACCCGTTGTACTTGCAATGGGAAAACCGACAAAGTTCCTTATGACAAGACAATACACAATATGTACAAACAGAATAGATGCCCATGTTACTGAAGTGTCATAAGCGAGGGACACTCACGAACATTGATACTCGCAATGGGAGACCGACAACACCGACAAATATACGAAAAGGAGTGCATTAACATAAAACACTGAAATTTAATAAAACTATTTCATTTTACAGAAAATAAATCATGTATTCTACATCAAAGAAAAAACAGAATCCAATGCCAAAATATGCAAAGGGTAAACCAAATTATGTAAATGAAGTTGAAAAAAAGATATTCAAGACACTGATTCCTTCTTCACATCAGTTGAAGGAAATTAATTTATATTTAAATGAAAAAAATAAAAAAAGAATGGAAAGCTTAGAGAAACTGATTTCTACATCATCAACTGTAGATATAAAAAATGTTTTAAAACATCAATATAAACTACTAGGTGAGAAGAAGAGAANATTATCTATATATATAAAAATGAATGTATGTGTGTCTGTGTGTCTGTCTTATGTCCTTCATGCATTACCACACCGTTTATCCGATTGCCGTGAAACTTCGGGAAGTTTTTTTAATTTTTTAATACACTCCCGCGAAGTACATTTATCCTACGATAGATGACGCGCGTTTACACGATCATTCGCGCACAGCGTGTTCGATCGATTTAAAATTGTGAGGACCATTTCCCCCTTCAAAAAATATCTCTACATATGCATTTGTGAACTGTTATTTACGATATTTATAATAATTTTTGTTTAATCACTTTATTTCAACTTTCTTTTGCTAATTACGTATTCGCTCAAGCTTCGTTAAACCTTAACTGTACCCCGAACAACAACCGAAGTTGTAGAAAGAAATTCGCGTATTTTACCGATCTAGGTATCCCCTCTTTTCCAAATTTTAATATCGACTCAAAATAATTTAAAAAGACAAATTACAATAAAACGGTTTATTATCCAACTATCAGAAATTTTACAACGCGCCAAGGAAGAGAGAAAGGAGCAATTAAATAATTAAAATTATAAAGGATTAAAAAATATATATATATAAATGGGGAATATCGCACTTCTGACAATCGCTGCCAGTGTGTGAGGTAAATTTGGAGAATCCGTGCTTCTCGCATGGACAACTGAATGTGGCCGGTTCACGCGTTGGAAAACCTTCTGATTTATTCGTGTACGCACCAGACGGAAAAACAAAAAGTATCGTGTATCCACAAGCACTCCAATAAATAAATAGAATTGAAACGACACTTTGAAATGTTTTCCCGATGAAAACGAATAATAATAATAAGTTTCAATAAAAATGATAAAATGTAAATTGAATTCTTCCGCTTCCGCTTTACACAAGTTCGACTTAAGCCTGGACTCCACATTACCGGAATCCGCGACGTAATCGTAAAACTGAAAGCCAAACTGACGAAACTTTCAGTTTTATAACGTTCAGTTGAACAGAAACCAGACTGAAAGCAGAGTTAAAGATTATTTAACTTTTCCGTTTTCGTTCCGCGCTTCTGTCGTACTCCAACCAATAAAAACGCAAGGATTTGTGACGCGTAGTCACGCGCATTAGTCACGCGTAGTTTGATTGTCGTAATGGCGGAAGCTGTAGCGAAAACGATGAAAAAACAAATAGATTTGCAATTCTTCATCGAAGAAGTTAGAAAATACACACATCTGTACGGCAAAAAATGTAAATAATTCAAAGATTATTAACAATGAAATTCAAAGATTATTAACAATGAAATTGTTAATAATCTTTGAATTATAGCAAAATCAGTAGCGTCGTCCATGTTTGACTCTACGACAATTACAGAACTGATCAACAGATGGCGCATTTCTAGTGGTGTCGAGTTAAAACGAAAACATAACTGAAACGAAAACTCTATATGTTTCAGTTCTGTTTTTGAGTTTATGTTTTAAAGTAATGTGGAGTCCAGGTTTTACACTAGAAGATGAACTGAACATGAACTGGTTTACATTCTTCTTCCTAAACATTCATTTATAAACATTTCTACTTTAAATAATAAAATAACAGAATTGTCGTTTTCTAATTTGAGCGTTACGTCACAGGTACCGAAGAAACTCGTCGGCAGTGACGTTCCTTCCGCTTTCACTATTGTCGTTCGAATGTCGGGTGCTAATGTACGTCACTCGACGCAATTTGATACGTTCTGTTTGGGATGATGACGTTTGAATTTCTTAAGAGATTGAAATTTTCTCGTTATTTAACAATGTTTAGGTCTCGTCTGTGATGATGTACAATACACATACCAAATAACACTTCTACGCAATAAAGACAATCACTACTTATTGAAAGATCAGTCGTAAGATGAAGAATTATCTATTTATTTATTTAAACGCAAACGATCGAAAAAATAATTACCGATAGAAACTACAGTTAGCATTTAAGTCTGTAAATAACCGCATCTACTACAATTATTTCCTCATCTTTTAAATTACTTTCGTTTTCGGTTTTATTTTAAAGTTTGTTTCTCCGTATTCCTTTATCAAACTTCAACATCCTTCCTTTCGTTCGTAAAATTAATTAATTTTAGATGCAAACTGCCTGAATTTATATCAGTTTCTTACTCGAAGATGAATTTATTTTTATTTTTCAAATATAAATTATTTGCCAGAGTTTCGCATTTATATTGTACTTTAATTAACTTTATTAAATGCTTTAAATATTAAAAATGGTCGGAGTTTCCTTCACACGGGAAATCATTTCTGTTTTTTTTTAATTATTGCATTTTCTGTCTTCTTTACGTATCAAAAAAGGCATTTTTATTTTCTCTTAAGTTTGAGAAAAAAATAAGAATAATCCGCACGAAATATTTTACACTTGGTCATAAAATGAATGAAATTTCATTCAAAGAAATAATTTCCATTCGTACGAATATAAAACGAATAGAATTCATACATATTAATTTCATATTCGGTGATGAAACTTTTATTAAAGTAATTTAACTGCAGTCAGACAGAGACATTTTTTGTCACAAAACACGATTTATTAACACCATCCAGAAACGTCTTGCACACAGAAAATAAATATTATTTTATTTACAATATCGATTTGTTTAAAAGAATACCTCCCGTGTAATAAATGTGCGAACAGATTTTTTGTTTGTAAAACATTCATTTAATGTTAATCCGATATTGTTCCTTTCAAAGAAAGGAAAATAAACGAGGAAATTGAAATCCGTACACGTAATATTTCTGTCGGAAATGACGATTCGATGTCACTCATGTAATAATTTATAATGTTTTCAGTCAGTCAGAAGAAAATACTAACAGTAAGTTATTCGTAAATCGCGGTTTCGCTATTGTGTATTTTCCTCGACTGTTTTTGCACCTTTTCGTGTCGAATGAATTAGAATTTTCGTCGGACGAAATGAGGTTTGTTATCGTTTTTCAATCGCTATTTTTAGTGGTAAATTCTTGCCAAGAGTTTTGGCAACAATGGAAAAATTTTTCTTGTTCGTCATCGGCAAACAGCTGCCACTGATCAAATAACTTTTCCTCCGTTGAAATATTAGGTCAATCCTTATTAATCAAATGCGGCGAGGAAACGATTGACTCTCGTTTGATGCGATGCTTGAACGTTAAAAATGTACAAATGATAACATTTATAAATTGTTTTCTGTCGGGGATTGACTTTGGAATCTTCACTTTCGGATATGAAATCGAAAACATCCAGATATTGAACGAAACAAACCAGTATAACAGAAACTTCGAGAGCGCCTCGTTTATTAACATGTCCTCTCTGCGATCTGTCCAAATACGAGGCGTGAAGACGTCGGAACTTCTAAATTTAACATTTCGCAATGTTCCGTCTTTGACTTCATTGACAATCGAATACTATAACTTCACTTTATTTCCCAACAAACCTTTCCGAGAGTTAATTAATCTTTCCGAATTGTACTGTACATCAAGCGCGGTCTGTTAAGAGTTTTACCCGAAGATCTATTTTATAATCTTTACGGTTTGACAAAACTGGACTTAAGTTACAACAACATTGAATCGATTCACCCACTTGTCTTTAGATATCTCACTCCATTGGAATATTTGGATTTAAATTGGAATCGGATAAAAGATTTATCCAGTGACATGTTGAAAGGTCTTTCCAACTTAACGACATTTTCTATTACTAACAACCGAGAATTATCAGAAATTCCGTCTGGATTCTTTAAGAAACTGTTTAACTTGACTAAAATTAATGCAGAGTCTTGTTCTATTTCTTCACTCGAAGAAGATGTATTTTTTGACTTGATTAATTTGAAACTCGTCTATTTAGCTTACAACCAAATTGAACATCTCCCGCTAAATCTTCTGAGAAATAACAAACGACTGACACGATTTTCTTGTTGGCGTAATAAACTATCGTCGATTCCAACAGGAATTTTTCATGGGCTTTCTGAACTGCAATGGTTGAATTTGCGGAGAAACCGTTTAGAAATTCTTCCCGTAGACGTTTTTCAGAATTTGTCGTCATTGCAGATTCTCGATTTATCATTCAATCGTCTGACATTTCTACACGAAAACCTCTTCCTTCCATTGAGTAAGTTAACGCATCTCGATCTATTTCACAACAATTTCACTAAAATTTCTGGTAAGCATCCTTTTGGAAGCAGCAAGCATCTAACTTTTGTCCGTTTAATTAATGCGGGTTTGAAACAATGGCCAATGATAAATTGGACAGAATACAACTTAACTAGAGTCGATTTCTCAAATAATCGTTTTGAAACCGTCAAATTGCTAATTTACACGCCAAATCGCGTAACAATTCGTCTGTCTAATTGTAAAATCAGAACAATTTACATGGATGAGAGGAAATATGGATTTCAAATGCCAACTTATGATTTAAGTAATAACGAAATTACTTGCGACTACGAATTGCAGCAATTTATTTTTGCCCTTATGTCAAATATAAAAGTGGCAAAGAGGATGTTTCCAAATATAGAGAAGACGAAATGTTACGGAGAAGAAAGAAATTTGCTGGATAATACATCTCTCGTAGTCATAGGAAAGTATTGTCCGTTGAATTGCGAATGTTCTGCACATGATAATCACGTGATGGTGAATTGTTCCGGAAAGGGAATCGACAGAGTTCCCGAAGTTCTCGTCCCGAATGCCACGATTGTCGATTTGAGTAATAATTACATAAACGACTTGTCAGATGTCGATTGTGTGACGTGGAGAAACGTCACCCATCTGCATCTGAGTAATAACTCAATAAGTAACATTTCGGATTATGTTATTTTGCTAAACCTGAAATTTCTGTGGTTGGACGGAAACCGGTTAACCGAATTACCTTCCGGAGTAATGAATCTGATCGACGTTTCTTCGGAATTTAAGATTTATTTATCCAGAAACAATTTGAGTTGTAATTCTCATTCTCTGTTTACTAAAGAATGGTTGCTTAAAAACAGGAAGAAGATTGTAGATTTCTCCGATGTATTCTGCACCAGAAATTCGTCTTCTGTGTCTTTCGCCGAAATTGTTTTTAATGATCGTTGTAAACAAATTCCAGAAGATAATTTGACGTCGTCGGTAAATGTTTCGTGTACAAAATGCGTGTCTTCCGACGAAGTAAGTTCTGTTTTAGGATGGAAACTCGCAGTTTCTGTTCTTACTTCGTTGTTGTTATTAGGTGTGATTATTGTTGTTTCCATCGTTTATTATCGCAGAAGAAGAAATGACGAGAAAGAGCCAAAGACTGATCGAGACGAAGTGATTTTCTACAATGTTTACACTTGACGAATTCTGTAATTACGACAATTCAAATATATCTACTTTCATTAATTTAAGCATTCTGTTGCAATAAATTGTTATTATTTTGCATTTGTTATTACGGAAATGTATTACGTTTGTTTCAATAAATCTGTTTCAAATCTTAATTTTGTGTACTTTTGTGGTGAATTTTGACTACGAATTATTTTTAGAAACATAATTAGAAATAAAGCATCAGATTAAACACAAAGTTAGTTTTGAAATTAATTAATCAGGCACTGCTTATAGAAAATACAGAGATGAAAGCAATACTGTGACCACAGGGTCGGCACCTTTTCGGTTGCCTTGTCTTTAAGGACAGACACAGAAATCGGATTGGCCGCTAATTTCTTGCGCGCGAGCGGTCGCGTTGTAGGTTTTCGGACTCGGAATGGAGGCGGATGAAGACCGGAAGAAGTACACTCCACAAGTTATCATTTAACAAAAATATATCCGTTTATTAATCTATACTATTTACAATGTTCTACGATAATGTTACAGATGCTAAGCGGATACTAATAATAAGATATAAAATAAAAATATAGGAACCTTATTATTATTATCATCACGACCCTGACTGCGAGAAAGTGTTTAGAATCGTTAGCGCGTAGATAAATACCTTAAGAGTTCATAGAGAGGCGAAGGCTAAGATCGGGACTCTTACAGTTGAAGAAGACACCGGATGACGGCGAACTGACGTGACGACGAACTCTCTCCCTTTTTATTTCGGCTCTCTCGTGAGTTTTCCCATGATTTATTAGGAATTATTCTGACCGGCCCAATAATTAAATTTCAATCGCTGAAAGGAAGCGAGTCAGTGGGAAAAGTTTCAATCATTCAATCAAAAATTCTTCGTCAGACCCGGGCTCACAATATTGTACAATGCAAAGAAATTATTATTAACGTTCGAATCTTCTGTAACAGATCGTTGACGTTTCGACAAGAATGAAATTTTCCGATGAAGAATCTCTCGCAATTCGTTTTGTCATCTGCTGCTTCGAATTTGTTGCAATCAAATACAACAAAAACAAATGTGAGGTTTCAATTACACGTAACAATTGGAGGAAAATTGGGCGGAGGGCCGTCTTTTGTGTCTTTCGAAGTCTCGCTAACAGTAAAAAAACCTTTAGTAGAGTGTGATTGGTTTGTTTCTTCCCCCGGTGTTTTTCGAACGGAGGTATAAGCTTAAGGTGGAAATTTTATGCAGATATTTCACTCGTAATTAACCCGAAGGACTGTTATCGAACTCGTTCTATTCTCAATAATAGTGAAATCTGTCATTTGAAATGTGAATAATCGTAAAGGTCATCGGCGGCGATTTTTAAAGGCCCGTGACAAGTGAAAAGCATTTGTTTTAGATCGGAAATTTTGCCGTTACGGATAGAATGTTTATGAGGACGGCGCCGATGCACACCAAAATTAATTAGGTGAGAAATGTCCACGATAAACCCGATAGGCGGAGAAAATCGCCGGTATTTGATTTCATGGCGGACTGTAGTTAAATTGTGTTAATTTTCTTATCGGAGATCGGTATAAGAAAATTAATTCATCGCTTGTTCTCGAATAATTAGTGCTTCTGTTTCATTTATACAGCGAAATTGTCTTTGTCTATGACATTTGTTTTGGTTTAGGTTAGTTAAAACGTTTCGATCACAAAGACTTGGAGAGAATTAAGAGTAAATAGAAGTTACCAGAAAAAAAAGCTCTAGATAGATACTAAGAAAAAGTTGACACTTTTAAAAACATACGCCAGGAAGAAACCAATAAAAAAATAATTACAGACTAATAAATGTCAATTTACTAAATCAAGAAGCAGATATTAACGGTGATATTTGGTAGCGTAGAAGAGATTTAGCTAATAATCTGAATTTAGAACATGGCGACAAACAAGCTCAATTGTGAGTTCGCCAATTGGGGGGGGTATTTCCTACCGTCGGGATAAACTAAGATCAATTAGTGTGTGGGTGGCGGTCTTCAGAAAGAGACAAGTGTTTCACATAGACTACCTGAAAAAGAATATGCGAAGCAGGGTTAATTAAAAGAGGAGTGCCTGAAGCCAGTAGCATTTAATGCTACAGGTCAGAGAGAGTGCTCCACTAAATGTAAAAATGTAAATGTTTCACATAGAAACCGTTTATTTAGGAGATAATGCTTACATAGTTAGGTCAAGGTCCGGAAGTCCAGAGGTTGGTTCACGTTGTCTTCGAAAGTTGTTTCCTTTCTCTTTTCGTGTTGGCGGAGCGCCTGGGCGTTGGCGAGTCGGTCTTCGTTGGTGTTGAGATTAACGGCACAAAATGCCGAAGGATTCGCAAGGAACTGGGGACGTTGCGTGCACCCGAAGATCTGGCGAGGATAATGCTCTTCTGTCCTATTCAACCGGGATCTGCTTTATTCTGTGCAGTTTTACTTTGGCTAATTGTAAAGGGCATATATATGTTCAACCCGCTCTATAGTGTAATTTCTGTTTAATTGTGCTATGTACTGTACTTCTGATTATTGTATCTACTATGTCATATCTGGACTGCTGTGTCAGTCTAGCTATTGTGATTGTTACCTCTATTATTCGGTTCCCAACCATCCTCATATAATCCCTTTTCCTCTTCCTTCTCTTCCCCCATTCCTCTCCTCTTCCTCCTCCCTTCCCCCCTTCTTCCCCGGGCTATACGTATTGATAAGGCCGTCTCTTTCACAATTGTCAACTGTCCTATTCAACCTAATTCTCATCAAAAACTCCTGACTCGATTCAGCGCTTATTGGCTACACCTTTTTCTCCACGCTCCTCAATTGGTTTCCCACCTGTCTCTAGGTGAAAATGGAGCTCCGTTCAGAATGCGAGAAAAGTCAGCTACGGATGGTCTATCCGACACAATCTATTACATTTTGTCGATGACTGACACCCACGCTCATTCTAATATTTTTCTAGTTACGTTTAACTTTATAAACTGCGTTTTAAGTTTTAAATATTTTCCTTTTAATTTTCTTTATCTAAAATTTTGTTTTCTTGGTATTCTTTATGAGCGACGATGTCAAAGTCCGGTGTCGCCTACTCGACACTTATATAATTTGTTATCGGAAAATTTTATTATTATTTCTCACGTTGTCTAGTTTATCTATTTCGAATTTCAACGTAGCTTTTACTTGGCAGTTATTGTTGAATATCTCCTCTAATTCTTCTACTTTTCCAGACAATTTTGACAACTCTCCATGAAAATATTTATTTCCTTCTTTCAAAGCAACGACTCCTGCTTTAATTCCTTGTAGCTTCGTATGAAGTAGTGAGAATTTATCTTGTCTTAACTCGTATATTGATTTCAATGTAAAATGTGACTCTTCCTGTGGCTCAATCTGGTGAAGTTCGAAGTAATCGTAAATTTTCGTAGCTCTCGAGGTCACGGAACTACTTTTAGTAAAAACATTCCCTGATTGATTATAATCTTCGCTACTTGTATCGCTCAACTGCTTTTCCTTTTTCTTTTCCTTGAGATTACGAGGCACGGGGAGATTATCTGTTAATAGGAGAAAAACTTCTACAGAGTGCTAGGATAATGGGAGCTCAAATAGAATACGAACAATTCATCACCGCGCTATTGAGAGGATTAGCGCAAAAATACAACCTAATAGCCGTGCAATTCGACAACCTAAAAGACCCCGAGCACTCCAACGTGAGAAAAACCTTCGAACCAGAGTTTTATTCACTGGGAGTTTCACGGTCGGAGTTTCATTCACTGGGGCCCTTAGTCTCAAGTTTTTCGTATTACAACTCCCAACGTGTTGAATTTGTCACGTGGTACCATCTGACGTCAAATTGGTAGTCTCGAGTTATAAATCACGTGTTTTTCCATTTCACCTTGTGAGATCGTTACACGAAAGTGAAAATGGCAGACGGAAACGCTATTCTGATCGCAATCGAAGCATTAGAAAGAGCCAAAAGACGTTGTTTAAGAAGACAACGAATTTTTCGACTGCGAGTAGATGCCATTTCTTTACGTGTCGAGTCAACACTAATAAAAGAAATTTAATTCATAATTGATAAAATTATACAGCAAATTTTTCCAAAAATAAAAAGAAGTATTTAATTCGTAGAAAAAAAATATTAAAATGTAGTTTAACAACACGACTGCTGCAGCAGTAAAGATGGCGGCCATTTGGAGTGGAGGAGGAGGAAATTCTTACGGTAATAAATGAATCTTCAACAAAAAAGGTAAAAATCATGGATTATGTGGAAGAAACCATTCCAAGGTACAACGATATCGACTTCAAAGCACATTTTCGTCTTAAACGAAAAACTGTAGAATTTATTTCACTAAATATAAACCTCCACAAGAAGTCAGACACCGGTAGGCCATCTTTATATTATTCTGATATAGAAAAAGTGATACTATTATCGTTGCGGGCGCTGGAAAACCAAGAATCGTTTCGTGGTATCGCGGACACATTTGGATTAGAAAGCCCTTTATACAGACATATTTCAAATGGTGCCGTTTCTATTCCCGAGAACTGCCATCTTCTTGGAAACTTTCATATTTAATGGTGCCATACAAGGATAATGGATACGATTAAAACTTTTGCGTGTGACACAGCGGTCCAACATCCCAAAAATGATCATTTTAGCCCGCGTTCTTCATAACTTTTGTGTTTTACAGAATAACGAAGCACCCGAAAGGGACGACAATTACATACAAAATGGGAACAACTTGGCTGATTATGAGAGTAATGGAGATGGAAGATCTAAGAGAAATATTATTGCAGATAATTTGTATCAACTGTTAGAATAATATTGTGATATTTGTTTTTTAATCTGCTGTAGTAGTAATTAATCAAAGCCAGCAAAGATAACCGGCATTGTTTATGTAACAACCGATTAATATTTTTCAAGATAGTTCATTTCAAACATGTCTGTTTCAATGTAATTTAGTTAGATGATGTTTCTGCAAAGAATATAAGGTGTCCTGTATAGTAGTTTTTTATACAAATTTTTCTAATAATAGACATTTATAAATGATTTCATGACTTCTCTCATATATAAGACTTCATTCTCTTTCTCAATCTTTTCGCGCTTTTCTAGGTTCTGTGAAAACCACAGTGGTGGTTTGTTTGCTTTCCTTTTTTGGTGCTTTTTTAATATTTTCTAAACTACAAAGAAGAAGACTAGATGCGCTGCTGCTTGTTAAAGACAAATCTACTGGAGGAGGGAAAGGAGTGCTCGAAGTAGCACTGTAAATTTTTTCTGGCAGTGAACTCATTAAAGTTTCTGGAGGAGTAACGTCAGACCTACGACCTATTGCTGCATTGAAAAGATCAAAGTAGGGCCAGGTTATAGCCCTTTCCCCAGTTTTATGTTTCACTTTATCTTTGTTTCTTCTGTATGTGGATAACAGGTTTTGCCACTTTTTATCACACACTGTAGATTTATATCCCTGTTTTGCTAAGTGATCGGAAACCTTCACCCACGGTTTATTTTTTTCTATTGGTTTTCGAAATTCCAACCTGATACTTATTAAGAGTCTGGTCATAGCATTAGTCCAATTGACATTCGACGTAAGTGTGAGAATTCAGACTCTCTTATGAGAATTTTGAATAATAATAAGTCGAATAGAATTTTTTCTTCATCATTATTTCCGTTATTTCTCCCGTTCTCACCCCGTTGCCCGAGGAATAGACCCCGGACAGCGCTAGAAACGACGCAATTCAATGACCTTCTTGACGGACGAAGTCGTCCGGGTCGACCGCGGAAGCTCCCCGGAGACCTGCGGTGTGCAGATTAGCTACAAAAGGTCACCTACAAAGGTCAACCGTACGGTGAGAAACATTACCAAAAATGGTCAGTCATCTCCCCAGATGATGACGAATTCAATAGACTACTAATTGGTCGAGAGATGTTTATAATGTCGTCACCTATGACGGGGGAGACGTCAACGAAATCCCAGATTTTTCCCACGCTAAAAAGGATATAAAAGGAAAACAATCCGACACCTCGAGAGCGATCGTCACGGAAGAGATAAAGAAGCGGACTTTTCCAGCCCTCTCCACCTCAGGATCTACGAAGCTCATAATCGCCGCTCCATACAAGGTATAGACTTAGAATATTTCCCATTTTCTCCATATACGCCGGAATTACTCGTCGCAGAGGTTAACCGAAGAACTTTCCGAGCGAGCATCACCAGGAAGAACTCTACAGTCGAGGAGCGACGGAGCAAACACCTTATACGGACATAGCCGAGCAGACAGAAGGGGACATCGGTTCCATACCGCCATCGCTCCATATCGCCTTCCAAGGGCACTTCGATTAGAATACGACGATCCCAGAGCGTCCTATCAACGCCCTATACGACGAGATCGTATCCTACGAGATAAACCCTTGCCATAATTGTCTCTCTCTCCAACGAGAGGTCTTTCTTGATCTTTAGCTTAGGTTAGGTAGAATATAGAATAGATATTTATATTTTGGTACGCGTGTGTTATATTTATTGTCTTTATGTATAATCTATTATTTGTTTATTAAATGTGTTAGTATTGTTAAACCCGTGTAGTTATTTGGACACCTTGTCACGACTTCCGACCCCTCTCCACTCACTTTTTTTTGCCCTCCTATAGCCATTCTCTGACAACGAAGCCGGTAAGTGGGGAGAAGCTCTCGCTCTATCCCCTCGGTTCGCACATAAGTAAATCTGAAAAACAATATATCAAATTAGAGTCTTTATCTTTAGGAACATTTTGAAACTTTTTTAATCAAGTCCAATCATTGTGTAACTATTATCCAACAATTGTAAAGACTGTCCATTTAACTATAAAATTTTGCAATAATTTCTTACATTTATACAGTATGATATTTTCTCGTAATGATAAATTATTTATATGTATTTATAAAACTAAGTAGAATTAAAAGTATATTTTAATTAAACATAACATCTGAAAGACTTCTCTTTTCACCCCTAATGCCCGAAGTTTTAAAATAAAAATTATGTAAATTTCACTGTAAATTAACAATGAAAGTAATTCTGACAGTCACATTTCTTTTAATACCTGAATTTGTATTACTTTCTAAATTTATCTCAGATAATTCAAAAATCGTAAATGCTGTCTTCTCTTCCACAAAAACTTTAAATTTATTGTTTTCGATAATAAATTCGAATTCTTCCGCCATTTTGCTGCAGCAGAAAAACCAGCTCCTTCGAGTGCCGTAAAAATATCCTCGAACTCGAGCGTTTGCTTTACGTGAAGCGGTGCGCAGCCACGAGTTGAACAACAGTTTAGTTGCAGCGATAGCGAAGCGCCGAATTTAACAACAACCCGCATGCTTAACGACATACGTAACCGAGTGAGTATGACGTACTTCCGCTCGCCTTTCGAGTTCACTCGATGGCTCTAACTCGAGACTACAATTTTATGAGTGAGTGCGATGACGTCAATTCGAGTACAATAAGGAAAACTCGAGTCTAAGGGCCTTGGATAGTTTATTCGACACCATCCTCTCCATTTTGTTGCTTTGTCGGTCCCATTCTTTACATTCTCGCTTCGTTTTACTTTATTGCGACTTAAATTTTAAATATTTCCCTCTTTAATGTTCTTTTAATCTAACATTTTGTTTTTCTTTGTATTCCTTTTAGATCGACGATGTCGAAGTCCGGTGTTGCCGAATCGACGTTTACGTAACTTGTTTTCTTGACGGTTTAATTCAATAAATTTTACGTTTTCTTTTTATTGACTATTTCCTTTGCCTCACAAGTACAAAAAGAAAACATTTTATATTTATTTCATACTTAGTTAAAAAAATTTTATTATTATAATTCTTACAATATCAATTTGTTTAAACGAACAATTCACTTGTAATAAATGGGCGAAATTAATCTTTTATTCGTAAGACATTCGTTTAACGTTAATCCGATATTGTTCTTTTTAATGTAACGGAAATAAACCAGGATATAAATTGGACACTGTATACGTGATACTTCTGTTGGAAATGACGATTCAACGTCATGACGTCATAATTAATCGTGTTGTCAATGTATCATGTTTTATTGTTGATTCATTTCTAAGGATCGTACTTCTCAGATTCGTCTATCGATGTAATTATAAGACTCGTTTGACGAGATGAGGTGAGTTGTCTTTTTGCAATTCCTATTTCTAGTGGTTAATTCTTGTCAAGAGTTTTGGCAACATTGGGAAAATGTTTCTTGTCCGTCATCGGCAAACAACTGCTACGAATCAAAGAACTTTTCTCGCGTTGAAATACTCAATCAATTCTTATCCATCGAGTGAGAAGAGGAAACGATTGATTTTGGTTTGATGCAATGTTTGGACGTTAAAAATGTACGAGAGATAACATTTACAGATTGTTTTCTGTCGGGGATTGACTTTGGAATATTCACTTTCGCATATGAAATCGAACACGTCGAGGTATTAAACCCACCCTCGTATAAAAGAAACTTCGAGAGCGCCTCGTTTAATAACATGACATGTCTTCGATCTGTCGAAATACGAAACGTGAAGACGTCGGAACTTCTAAATTTAACATTTCGCGACGTTCCGTCGCTGACTTCATTGAGAATTATACAATATAACTTCACTTTATTTCCGAACAAACCTTTCCGAGAGTTAATTAATCTTTCCGAATTATACATTGCTCTTGGTAAGTTAAAAGCTTTACCCGAAGATGTATTTTAAAATCTTTACACTTTGGCGAAACTGGTCTTACGTCACAATTACATTGAATCGATTCATCCACTTGTGTTTAGAAATCTCTCCAAACTCGAATATTTGGATTTAGGATTTAATCGAATAAAGAATTTACCAGGTGACATGTTAAGAGGTCTTTCTAATTTGAAGAAACTTTATATTTATGAAAATCGTAGATTATCAGAAATTCCGTCTGGAATCTTAAAAAAACTGCAAAATTTGACTACATTTTTTGCATCGAGTTGTTCCTTTTCTTCACTCGAAGAAGATGTATTTTCTGACTTAATTAATTCGAAAACCGTTACTTTAAAATCCAACAAAATTGAACGTCTTCCGCCAAATCTGCTGAGAAATAATATACTGCTGACAGTATTTTCCTGTTCGAATAATAAAATATCGACACTCCCAACAAGAATATTTCACGAACTTTCTGAACTGCGGTGGTTGTTCTTAAAATTCAACCGGTTAGAAAATCTTCCCGAAGATGTCTTTCAGAATTTGTCGTCATTGCAAAGTCTCGATTTATCAGAAAATCGCTTGACATTTTTACACGAAAACATTTTCTTCCCATTGACTAATTTAACGTTTCTCGATCTATCTAAGAACAATTTAACTAAAATTATTGGCAAGCTTCCTTTTGGCAGAGGCAAACATCTAAATTATCTCCGTTTAAAGAATGTCGGTTTGACAGAATGGCTAGTGATAAATTGGTCAGAATACAACTTAACTTACGTCGATTTCTCAAATAATCATTTTGACACCGTCAAATTGCCAATTTACACACCAAATCGAATGCAAATGAATTTGTCTAACTGTAAAATCAGAACAATTTATTTGGATGATTGGAAATATGGATTTCGAATGCCGATTTATTATTTAAGTAATAACGAAATTACTTGTGACTACGAACAGCAGCAATTCATTTCTGTCTTTAAGTCAAATACACAATTAGCAAAGAAAATGTTTCTAAATATAGAGAACACGAAATTTTACGGAGAAGAAAGAAATTTGCTCGATAATACATCTTTCGTAATCATAGGAAATTATTGTCCGATTAATTTCGATTGTTCAGCGCAACAAGATCACGTGATGGTCAATTGTTCCGGAAAGGGAACAATTGACCATCATGACCAATCGACCAAATTCCAGAAGTTCTCCTCCCGAATGCGACGAGTGTCGATATGAGTAATAATTATATACAAGAGTGGTCAAATGTCGATTGTGTGACGTGGAGAAACGTCACCTATCTGCGTCTGAGTAATAATTCAATAAGTAACATTTCTGATTATGTTATTTTGTCAAACGTCAAGTTTTTGTGGTTGGACGGAAACCGGTTAACCGAATTACCTTCCGGATTAATGAACTTGATCGACGTTTCTACGGAATTTCAGATTTACTTGTCCAGAAACAATTGGAATTGCCATTGTCATTCGCTTTTTACTAAGGACTGGTTGCTTAGAAACCGTCAGAAAATTGCAGATTTCTTCGATGTTTTCTGCGCCAGAAATTCGTCTTTTCTGTCTTTTACCGAAATTGTTTTTAATGATCGATGCACACAAATTGCAAAAGATAATTTGGCGTCGTCAGTAAATGTTTCGAATACAAAATGCTTGTCTTCCGTTGAAGTTAGTTCTGTTTTTGGATGGAAAATCGCAGTTGCTGTTCTTACTTNAGATTGGGTTATCTATTGTTACAAGTTTTTCCGTGTTAGATAAAGTATATAGTAGAGGAGAAGGTGGTATTATGGAACCCAATTACATTTTAGTGAATTGTAAACAAGGTATTATAACTACACCCACATTTTTCGTGCAAAAAGTACTGGTAACTAGTAAACTAAATGTTCCTAATTGGATTTTTTGCTAGTGTAATTATAAGTATGGTTTTTGAAGGCTTTTGTACAAAAAGTCAGAAAGTAGGCTTAGAGAAAATCGGGGTCGTCAGTAAATGTTTCGAATACAAAATGCTTGTCTTCCGTTGAAGTTAGTTCTGTTTTTGGATGGAAAATCGCAGTTGCTGTTCTTACTTTGCTAATGTTATTCAGTTGGATTGTGTTTGCTTACTTTGTTTATTGTCGCAGAAAAGGAAATGTAGAGCCCGATGATAAAGAAGTGATTTATTACAATGCTTACACTTGACGAATTCTGTAATTACGACAATTCAAATGTATCTGCTTTGGTCAATTTAACCAATTTGTTGTAATAAACTGTTATTGTTTTACATTTGTTTCTATTGAAATTAATTTTGTTTATTTTAAATGTGATGTAACAAATGTTACTTTTTCTGGTAAATTCTGATTAAGTATTATATAAAATGTGTTATAATTAAAATAATAAAGCTGTAAATAAATCGCAAAGTCAATACTGAAATTCGACAATAAAACAATACTTTATATACCGAAAGTAAAGAAGTGAAAGCAACAATTTATAATTAAGAAAAATTATTATTAAAATTTGTATCTTCTGTAACACATCGTTGATATTTCGATAAGAATTAATATTTAATAGAAGTAAAAGAAGAAATAATTAATACAAGTAAAAGAAGGAAGAATGCACTCACTTTACATGATAGTGTAAATATATTTAACAGTGCAAAATATTTTTCTACATAATTTTAATGGTTTTCCCGAAGGAAATTACGTTGAAATATTTGATTATCCGGTGTTCATTATACAATGTTTGGAGATTCTATCAGTTTTTGATCTCAGATGCGGCTTAACTTTTGCTGCTTCCACACAATTAACGTTCAGTTACTTTCGGATTGACTTTTTCGTTTAGATAAAATATCTCAATCGCAGAGACTTGGGGAAAATATAAGAGTGGAAATGAAAAGAGAAAATAGATGCTGCCATTAACCCGTACATTGTTGCGAATTACGAAAGTGGCAACTGCCAGAAAAGGCGATAAATTCTGTTTGCGGGCAAAATAAAAAAAAGTATCAAATTTCAAAACTATAATTATAATTTAAAGCCGATTATAATTTCTCTGCTTATGTACGGATCTCTAGCCTGTGGTTATAAAAATATCATCGTTAATCTATGAGATAATCCTTTTCAAAAATTTCGAGACGAGAATAAAGTCGTGTTACATACAGTAAAACGCCCACACATCCATAGATACAGAAATTACTTTCCCCCGTAATGTTTTTTATTTCTCGACCTGTCAAAATCCCGTGAGCCCATAAATGTAAAAATTTGGAGAGGGATCATTTTAATGCGGATAATAATCGGGAAAGTATTAAATAAACAGTAAGACAAACATAAAACTAAAGAACCCGCAAAAATATCCCAAATCGGGCTTGGGATTGGCTAGGATTTCGGCCGACTACCGGTGCTAGCCAGGTATTTACTAGTGAGGAGTAACGAGACAAAAACCCGGCTCTTGGTTCTTCACCACATCGATTGCCTTCTAAGACATTGGCGAAACAATGAAATAAAAGTGAAATTTTTAGGGGTACGTTCAGAAAAATTGTGACATCGTCAGAATGCCAAGCCTGCAACTTTTCGTCACAACGTTCTCGATCTTTCAGTGGTTGTCTTTCCTCTGCACATCATACTTTTCGTGTCAGCAATTGTGAAGCGATTGTAAATAAATTTAATTCCTTCCGGAATTTTTTGCGTACTTTTAAAATAATTTTTTTAATGCAGACGTGTTGGGATAATAAGATTGCAATTCCCGATTTTCCTAATATAGATAACTTTTCTGTTAATCGACCCCTATCAGTCTCTCTATCGAGAGACTGATAGGGGTCGTGCTATTGGTGGCTGGATATTATTGATAGTCAATTCTTTGGAAGTGAATATTTTGAAAAAAAATAGGCATTGAATTGTTATGGAATTAACAATAGGACACCGAGTAATTTGTTTTGGTTTTATGTATATAAAACCTGTTCTATGGAATGCTACTGTATTTGGACGGAAATAGTTAGATTTGCTGTTTTTTGATTGGTGATTTCAATGCTCGCATTTGTGCCGAGCTACAGGAATGGATTTACGATTGTAATGAGAATCTTGTTTAGGGTTGGATGTCGAAGTTATCGCAAGATACATTGATAAATAATAGCGAAAGATTGGTGTCAAATTTTCGTTAAGATGCGGGATATATAGTTTTAAATGGTAGAGGATCATCCGTGTCTAAAGATGGGTGAAATAGGATGTTCTGTAATTGATTTAGGTTTATTTAAGCAGATTGGGTTATCTATTGTTACAAGTTTTTCCGTGTTAGATAAAGTATATAGTAGAGGAGAAGGTGGTATTATGGAACCCAATTACATTTTAGTGAATTGTAAACAAGGTATTATAACTACACCCACATTTTTCGTGCAAAAAGTACTGGTAACTAGTAAGCTAAATGTTCCTAATTGGATTTTTTGCTAGTGTAACTATAAGTATGGTTTCTGAAGGCTTTTGTACAAAAAGTCAGAAAGTAGGCTTAGAGAAAATCGGGTGGTAATACGAAACCTTACTGTATATTTTTAAAAAATGCCTTAATGCAGCCAAAAACAAATAGGAAAGGACAAAAAATGTTAAATAATTACAAAATTATTTAGTCCAATGTATTTTATTGCAAAAATGCTTTTATAATAGAGAAATATGACTTCCGTCAACAATATATATTCCAGCAGCTCTTTTTCGATATTCTCAGGAAGAATTGACTTTCTACCTAGTGTCTTTTTCACAAATTGCTCCGGACGAATGTCTGCTCGCAAAGAGAGTTTGGAGAAGTTGAGTTCCATATTACTGTAAAAGCACCAATGGGGTTTGTATTTCACGCATCGCCATCTTAAATTAACTTATGTCTGTCGAGACTAAAATTTAAAAAAACGTGAACATCACACAGATTAATATGTACCCCTAAGTCTCTCGAACGGAATACATGCACCAGTGAACCTACAACTACACAATTTATATTTTAAAAATAATTAAATTCAATTAACATTCAAAATTTTCGAATTTTGAAAAAAAAACAAATTTGCTAATTAAATACGGACAACTGCCTAGTTCAGCTCAGCCACAATCCGCTACAGTTCGCCTTTATTATCAGTTCGAAATGGGGGAGGTTCCATAATACCGCCTTTTCCTCTAATAATTTCCCAGTTAGTGTAGTTTTAGATTGAAACTTAAAAAGAATATACTAGAACCGTTTAAAGGCCTATGGATAATACAGTAGAACGTCGTTTATGCGAATGAATTGGGGACTGAGGTAGTTCGGATAACTTATTTTTCGGATAACCGATTTTCGGATAAACGACGCTATACTGTAAAGAGAAATTTTTTGGAAAAAAGAAAGCGGTGAGATGGTTAATCATAAATATGGTGCGATTCGAAGTCAGTTGGAGTTAACGTTCGATGTCCCGAGCTGTTTAAATAAATCCTCATTTTCGGATTGGAGCCGAAGGTCGGTTGGAACTTCCAAATTTGTGGGTTGAGTATTACAAGAAGAAATCGGGCGTCGAACAGGATGATACGAGCGAAGATTGGGAACACGTGTAGTGTAGCAGTAAGTAATTTTGTTAAAGAACGTAATGTTACTGGCAATTTATGTAGATCTAAGAAAAAGTTTTTTACAGAGGATTAATAAATGTTTGGNAGTGCCAGAGTAGCCGAAGATATAGCCAAAGATTGCAGCGCCACAGCACTAGAGGAAATTAAAATTTGCTGACTGGAATGCTTTCGGATAACCGATTTTCGGATAAACGACGCTATACTGTAAAGAGAAATTTTTTGGAAAAAAGAAAGCGGTGAGATGGTTAATCATAAATATGGTGCGATTCGAAGTCAGTTGGAGTTAACGTTCGATGTCCCGAGCTGTTTAAATAAATCCTCATTTTCGGATTGGAGCCGAAGGTCGGTTGGAACTTCCAAATTTGTGGGTTGAGTATTACAAGAAGAAATCGGGCGTCGAACAGGATGATACGAGCGAAGATTGGGAACACGTGTAGTGTAGCAGTAAGTAATTTTGTTAAAGAACGTAATGTTACTGGCAATTTATGTAGATCTAAGAAAAAGTTTTTTACAGAGGATTAATAAATGTTTGGCGTCTGGTTACAATTGTTTAACAATGTATGTCAATTAGGAAATATCTCATTAAATTGGCGTATATGTTAGATCATTCCTATATATAAGAAGGGGCTTAAAAATTTACCTGTTAATTATAGAGCAGTTTCGTTACCACCGACAATGTTTACAGTTTTTTGTAAAATTTTATATACGCGACTGCTAACTTTGTTGAATAAATACGAGGTACTTTCGGATTTCCGGGTTGGTTTCCGGTCCGGTTTCTCTACATTAGATAATATTTTTGTTCTATATGCTTTAATTCAAAAATCTTTAAAGAAGAAACGAGGTAAATTGTACGCTTTTTTCGTTGGCTTTACTCTGCTATTCGGAGTCGAGCCAAGAAATTGTAACTTTAAAATATTTTTAACTGTAAATAAGTAATTTTCGGCACGATGTATACCAGTTAACACCTCCTTACAAGATATCACAAAAGAAATTCCGATAAAAAAGGGTTTTATGCCCGAAACGCGTCTCGGTCGACAAGATATTCCCGAATAAAGATTAATGTCAGAAATGCTCACTGTCTATCTGTGCATCTAGTTGTGACAGTAAAAACAAATGTTTTTTTTCTGTTGTAAAATGCCTGTACAAACAGGGTTTCCCTTGTACTATTAAATAAATAAATAAATATTTGAAAGTAATTTTTCCTACTTGTTGACAAGAAGGAACTTTTTTTTTGTTGCTTTCTCCAAAGTCTTCCGTTTCCGCGTTACACAGGTTCGACTTACAATAAAATTTAGAATACACAATCGCGCCGGAGAGCAGGTTCGAAATTCCATCGGTAGTTAAGAGATAACTGGTTGAATACGATTGTATTAATTTGGCACTTTAAGGATGAATCAGCCTACCAAAACTTTTTATATTCGGAGTGAGCAGAAGCGGTTTATACTTTTCCTCGTAAACATTCACTCGTAAATCTTTCGATTTTAAACAATGAAAAACAAAATTGTGGTTCCATAACTGGTATGTACGTCAGAGCTTTCGAACGAACCCGGTGCAGTACCTTCCGCTTTCATTAATTAATATCGTTCGAATCCGATGTCGTAACGTACGGTAAACGATGTAATTCGTTCACGTGATGTTTCGGATAACGACGTAATTTTTGTTACCGATTCAAATGTTTTCGTTGTCTAACAACATTTGACAACGTACAATACACATTTCAAAATCACTTCTACATAATAAAGACAATCACTACTTATCGAAGGATCACGCGTAAGGTGAAAAATTACGTATTTATTTCTTTAAATACAGACGATAGATGAAGAAATTATCAATAGACATTAAAGTAATAAATAAAATTTGTGAATAACAGTATTCACTATAATCACTTCTACATCCGTAAAGCAGTTGACCGTCATTTCTAATGTTTATTTCTCCGTATTTTCCTTTATCAAACTTCAACATCCTTCCTTTATGATTTCGTTCGTAAAGTTAATTAATTTTAGATAAAAACTACCTCAATTTATTTAAGTTTCTTACTCAAAGATTAGTTTATTTTTATTTTTCAAATATTCACAAATTATTTGCCAGAGTTTCGCATTTATCTTGTACTTTAATTAACTCGATTAAATGATTTAAATATTACAAATGATCGAAGTTTCATTCACACGGGAAATCATTTCTGTGCCTTTTAATTATTAATTAGAATCAGACAGAAACATTCTTTTGTGTCACGAAACACAATTGATTAACAACAATCAGAAACGACTTAGAGAAGAAAAACAAATAAAATTTTATTTAAAATATCAATTTATTTACACAAAATAATTCTTGATCAATAAATGTGCAGAACAAATTTTGTATTCGTAAAACATTTATTTAATTAACGTTAATCCGATATTGTTCCTTCGAATGCAACGGAAATAAACGAGGAAATTAAAAACTGTTTACGTCATATTTCTGTCGGAAATCGACGTCACTGACGTCATAATTTATCGTGTTTTTATTCAGAAAACAGTTGTAAGAGTATATAATTCTTAGGTACACGGTTTCACTATTGTGTTTTTGCCGTTCTTCGTGTAGGATGAATTAGAAGTGTCGTCGGACGAGATGAGGTTGGTTGTCTTTTTGCAATTCCTATTTCTAGTGGTAAATTCCTGTCGAGAGTTTTGGAAAAGTTGGGGAAATGTTTCTTGTAAGTCAAGGGAAGACAGATGCTACGAATCAAAGAACTTTTCCTTCGTTGAAATATTTAATCACTCCTTATTTATCAGGTGCGGCAAGGAAACGATTGACTCTCGTTTAATGCGATGTTTGGACGTTCAAAATGTACAAGAGATAGAATTTACACATTGTTCTCTGTCGGGAATTGACTTTGGGATATTCACGTTTGGGTATGGAATCGAACACGTCAAAATATTTTACGTATCAAACGTGTATGAAAGAAAGTTCGAGAACAATTCGTTTAATAACATGTCTTCTCTGCGATCTGTCGAAATAATAGGCGTGAAATCCTCGGAACTTTTAAATTTAACATTTCGCAACGTTCCCTCGCTGACTTCATTGAAAATTAAATTCTACAATTTCACTTTATTTCCCAACAAACCTTTCCGAGAGTTAATTAATCTTTCTGAATTATACATCAAAAATGGTATGTTAGAAATTTTACCCGAAGATCTATTTTATAACCTTTACAATTTAACAAAACTGGACATAAGTAACAATAAAATTGAATCGATTCACCCACTTGTCTTTAGAAATCTCACTCGATTGGAATATTTGGATTTAGAACATAATCGGATAAAAGATTTCCCCAGTGACATGTTAAAAGGTCTTTATAATTTAAGGACATTTAATATTAGTTGGAACCATGAATTATCAAAAATTCCGTCCGGATTCTTTAAGAAACTGCCTAACTTGACAGAAGTTAATGCAATGTTTTGTTCCTTTACTTCCCTCGAAGATGATGTATTTTCTGACTTAATTAATTTGAAAACTGTCTATTTAGGTTTCAACAGAATTGAACATATACCGCCAAATCTTCTGAAAAATATTAAACTGCTGACACGATTTTCCTGTCCGTATAATAAATTATCGAAACTTCCAACAGGAATTTTTCATGGACTTTCTGAACTGCAAACGTTGAACTTGCACACAAATCGTTTAGAAAATCTTCCCGAAGATGTTTTTCAAAGTTTGTCTTCATTGCAGAGACTCGATTTATCATTCAATCGTCTGACATTTTTACACGAAAACATTTTCCTTCCATTGGCTAATTTAACGTTTCTCGATCTGTCTAACAACAGTTTAAGTAAAATTATCGGTAAGCATCCTTTTGGCAGCAGCAAGCATCTAACTTATGTCTTTTTAAATAATGCGGGTTTGACACAATGGCCGGTGATAAATTGGACACAATACAACTTGACTTACGTCTCTTTCTCATATAATCGTTTTGAAACCGTCAAATTGCCAATTTACACACCAAATCGAATGCAAATGGATTTGTCTAACTGTAAAATCAGAACAATTTATTTAGATGAGAGGAAATATGGATTTCAAATGCCGACTTATAATTTAAGTAATAACGAAATTACTTGTGACCACAAACTGCAGATATTCGTTTCTTTCGTTAAGTCAAATATAGAAGTAGCAAAGAAAATGTTTCCAAATATAGAGAAGACGAAATGTTACGGAGAAGAAAGAAATTTGTTGGATAATACATCTCTCGTAGTCATAGGAAATNAATTATTACTCAAATCGACAAACGTCGCATTCGGGACGAGAACTTCGGGAATTCGGTCGATTCCCTTTCCGGAACAATTGACTATCACGTGATTTTGTTCGAAAAAACATTCGCAATTCATCGGACAATAATTTCCTATGACTACGAAAGATGTATTATCCAGCAAATTTCTTTCTTCTCCGTAACATTTCGTCTTCTTTATATTTGGGAACATTTTCTTTGCTAATTCTATATTTGACTTAAGGGCAGAAACGAATTGCTGCAGTTTGTTGTCACAAGTAATTTCATTATTACTTAAATTATAAGTCGGCATTTGAAATCCATATCTCGTATCATCGATGTAAATTGTTCTGATTTTACAGTTAGACAGATTAATTTTCATGCGATTTGGAGTGTAAATTGGCAATTTGACGGTTTCGAAACGATTATTTGAGAAAACCACTGTAGTTAGGTTGTATTCTGTCCAATTTATCATCGGCCATTGAGTCAAACCTACATCAATTAAATAGAGAGTACGGAGATGCTTGCAGCTGTCAAAAGGAAGCTTGCCAATAATTTCGGTTAAATTGTTGATAGATAAATCGAGAAGCGTTAAGTTAGTCAATGGGAGGAAGATGTTTTCGTGTAAAAATGTCAGGCGATTTACTGATAAATCGAGTCTTTGCAATGAGGACAAATTCTGAAAAACATCTTCTGGAAGATTTTCTAAACGGTTTATCCCTAAGTCTAACTCTCGCAGTTCAGAAAGTCCATGAAATATTCCTGTTGGAAGTGTCGATATTTTATTATTCCAACAGTAGAATTCTGTCAGTTGTTTGCTATTTCTCAGAAGATTTGGCGGGAGATGTTCAATATGGTTGTATGCTAAATCGACGTATTTCAAATTAATTAAGTCAGAAAATACATCTTCTTCAAGTGAAGACAAGGAACAACGATACGCAGAAAAATGAGTCAAGTTGTGCAGTTTTTTAAAGAATCCAAGCGGAATTTCTGATAATCTGCCATTTCCATGAATATAAAATGTCCTTAAGTTAAAAAGTCCTTTCAACATGTCATTTGGTAAATCCTTTATGTTATTATATTGTAATTCCAAATATTCGAGTTTGATGAGATTTCGAAAGACAAGTGGGTGAATCCATTGAATGTCATTGTAACTTAAGTCAAGTTTTGTCAAATTGTAAAGATTATAAAATAGATCTTCTGGTAAAACTTTTAACTTACCATACTTGATGTATAATTCGGAAAGATTAATTAACTCTCGGAAAGGTTTGTTGGGAAATAAAGTGAAGTTATAGTATTCGATTGTCAATGAAGTCAAAGACGGAACATTGCGAAATGTTAAATTTAGAAGTTCCGACGTCTTTGCGTGTCGTATTTCGACAGATCGCAGAGAGGACATGTTATTAAACGAGGCGCTCTCGAAGTTTCTGTTATGCCGGTATGTTTCGTACAATATTTGGACTCGTTCGATTGCGTACCCGAAAGTGAATATTCCAAAGTCAATCCCCGACAGATAACAATCTGTAAATATTATCTGTTGTACGTTTTTAACATTAAGGCATCGCATCAAACGAGAGTCAATCGTTCGGTTGCCGCAATATAGCCATAAGGATGGATCGAATATTTGAACAGAGGAAAAGTTCTTTGATTCGTGGCAGCTGTTAGCCGGTGACGGACAAGAAACATTTCCCCAATGTTGCCAAAACTCTCGACAAGAGTTTACCGCTAAAAATAGCAATTGAAAAACGATAACAAACCTCATCTCGTTCGAAGAAGCTTCTAATTATTTCGACGCGAAGAGCTGCAAAAACAGTCGACGAAAAATTCACAATAGCCAAACGGATTGAAAACACGATAAATTACGACGTCGATGACTTCGATTCGTCATTCTGAATATGACGTATGTAGTGTTTAATTTCCTCGTTTATTTCCGCTGCATTGAAAGGAGCAAGATTTGATTAATGTTAAATGAATTTTTTACGAACCAAAACTTTGTTTTACACATTTATTTCACGGGAATTGTTCGATTAAAGAAATTGATATTTTAAATATAATGTTACTTGTTTTCTTTCTCTAAGATGTTTCTGGATGGTGTTAATCAATCGTGTTTTGTGACACAAAGGAATGTTTCTGTGTGACTCCAGTTAAATTATTATAATTAAAATTTTATCATTGAATGTGAAATAAATATAAAATGTATTCGTTTCATATTCGTTCGATTGGGAATTTTTTCAATTCGTGAAAATGCAATCATATTATGAGAAAATGTAAAATATTTCTAGCGATTATTTTTAGTTTTTTCTCCAACTTATAATCGAAAATAAAAATTCCTATTTTTAAGTAGAGAAAATAGCAAAAAATTATTAAAAGACGCAGAAATGATTTCTTATGTGAACGAAACTGTGGCCATTTGTAATATTTAAAGCATTGAATCAAGTTAATAAAAGTACAAGATAAATGCGAAACTCTGGCCAATAATTTTTGTAAAATAAACAAATTAATCTTCGAATAAGGAACTTAAACAAATTGATGATGTATGCATTTAAAATTAATTAATACGAACGAAAGTACAAAGGAAACATGTTGAAGTTCGATAAAGAAAAATGCAGAGTAACAAACTTTAAAACAAAACCGAAACCGAAAACGAAAGTTGTTTAAAGACGAGGAAATAATTTAAACAAATGTCTGTAAATCTTTTACAGACTTAAATGTTCACTTTAGTTACTATCGGTAATTACTTTTTCTATCGTTGACATTTAAAGAAATAAATAGATAATTCTTCATCTTACGACTGATTTTTCGATAAGTAGTGGTCGTCATTACTACGTAGAAGTGTTTTTTAGAATGTGTATCGTACGTCATCACAAACGAGAAGTAAACATTGTTAGACAACGACGAGAAAATTTGCAACGCTAAGAGAAACATACGTCATCATGTTAAAAAAAAACCTCGGTGCTGACAATACTGTACTTATCACGAAGTCTGCATTTCGTCCCGATAATTCGTCAGATTTTATGAATAGTTTAAAGTTTTTACGGACTTTTTTCCCCACCAAGTATACAATATAACGAACCGCTGAGAGTATCGGTATAAAAATTAAATATCTTTGTTTTCGAGTAGATTCGTAAGAATTTTTTCATAAATAAATTAATTAATTTTTATAGTACGAGGTAACAGAAGAGAAAACTTCGTAGTCAAATCGCCGACAAAATTCACTTCCACTTTTATAACACTTTAAATATCCTGGTGGATAAACAAACAAAATAAATAAATTTATTAAATGTCAGCAATAAACTGCCCTAAACGGTTTCACAAACTGTATGTATGTCGACATGCCCCAATCAATTATTAAATTAGAATTCCACTTATTAAATCTGTACTTTAAAGCTTTATTTTTAAAACGAGTTAAATAATTATTTCTCGTTCTTACCAACGTATCAGACGTGGCTGTCGAATTTAACAAAGACACACGATTTTCGTAACCGTAACTTTCCAACAATGCCGACAATCGATTATCCCATACCGATTTGTGCGATAGTTAATACGACTTTGCTTTAACCGTAAGCTCACTAACGGGACATTTACCTGTCTATCTTAAGATACATTTATTATATTACATTTTATCAAAATTCTTTGATATTATAAATAGATTGTATAGAAGGGAACCCATCTCTATGAAAAATGGCTTTTAATAAACTTCGGTCGAATGGCATTTTTTCTTTCTGCCCGGGTAAAATCCAAATTTCCGAACCATAAAATATTGGCAATTCATTGAAAGCTTATCCGACCACGCTATTAATCTGCCAGATTTACACACTCGAGTAATCTTTTCTGTACCGATATACACTTAACAACTTGATTTAAATGTTAGAAAATCTTCCGCTCGATTGGAAAACTACTCTCGAATATTTATATTCATCTACTACTTTGATCAAATTATGCTAAATATACCACTTTTATCTTCAGAACGAACCCCTCCGTTACGAATCTCCATTAGATTTGTTAACATTAATACTAAGACATAATTTATGCGTGGCTTCTACACTGAAATTAATCATTTTTGTAGTCTTATTGGAGAATCTGCCGATATTACCAAATCATCCGCGTAAGTAAGAATCTTAACGTCACAACCTTCCGGATCACGTCCCGGTACTTCTAAAGACTTAATTCCTTAATAAATGCGTTATTATAGAAATTAAACAGAATTGGTCTTAATACTCATCCCCGTTTAACAGTACAAGTCTTCGAATTAGTATATAATTGGATTTGCCAATTAACGAATCTGTAACTTCTTCATAAATGTTGCCGTAAAATATCTCTGTTTAGACAATCAAATGCCTATTTCAAATCTACGAAAAAAGCGACAATTTTTCCACGTTTTCTCCTCAAAAGTTTTTGAATACAAGCGTACAATATAAAAATATTATCCAAGGTCGAGAATCCGGAGCGCAAACCACTCTGAAAATCTAAAAAAAAAAACCCGTAACTACCCAGCCACGTACCTAATCTCCTATACAGAATCCTATACAACGAGTAAGATAGAGACCACGTATAAAAAGCGTAGGGTTTAAAAGCTTCGATCTCCTATACTCGATTTTTCAAACTGCACCAGAAGTCGTTTGATGTTTTAAATAAGAATTGTGTAAAAACGAAAGACCGGCACAGCGAAGAGAATCGCTTGTATCGACTGTATCTAAAAGTAAACAAAGCCTGATGCAAGTCACGTGATTCAACGTTCTTCAACTTTCTGTACAACGTCAAAATTTGTGTTGTGGGTGTCGTAAATAGTCAATGCCAACTGATATTGCTAAAATACATTAATAGAGTTTTGTAAGTTGAACAATAGACAAACTCTTCATATTAAAAAATACAATAGAAGTAGCGATAATCGTTTTTTTTTTTTATTTATTATTTGATGAGCACGTATTGCGTGACAAGTAAACCGCGTGTAGAAAATTCCTATGTATAGAATTTTATAAAGGGAAAAGCAACATACAAAAATGTTGAAAAATAATTTAATTAAACTTTAAATAATTCGATTTTCGTAAGTATATTTTTGAATGTAACGTGTTTCACGTCTCAAGATTCCGTCTGACGACAATAAAAACTGATGCCGAAAGAAACTCGATTTTATACATTATAAAAAAATAAAGAAAAAAAATCTCTTTTACACCACAATAACTTTAATTAAAGATCTTTTATTACAAGCGATGTACTGTACTGTTACGTTATTTTGCACCCTATCTTACTTCAATCACTCACGACTTATTAACTAAAGTAATAAATGTAATTTATGTATTGATGAAAGTATATAAATCTATTGTATACATTGTATACAAAAATGATTGCTTGGAGGTTATAATTTTGTTTATAAAATGTATCTAAGATTTGTACTTTTAGATGATTTTAAATAAATTTCTAACTATAATTTGGAATAATTTAATCGAGTTTTACCCCAATTGAGTAGCGATACAATAAACAATTATTACAATATCAAATTATATATAGTCTCATCTGTGTAAAATTGCTTCTACTTATATGCAGAAATAGAAATACGTTGCAACAACCTTATACAAGGATTTTTTTAAGTAATTCTAACTTAAATTTATTACTTTAAAGCTAATATATTTGATTAAAGTGTACATGTATACTGTACAATAGTGTATCGAAGATATAAACAAGCAATATGGCTTCTTTCAGGGGTATAAATTTTCTTATATTTGAATGACATTAAGGTTTTTACAGTAAATATTACTTTAAACGAGGTAACAGAAGAGAAAACTTCGTAGTCAAATCGCCGACAAAATTCACTTCCACTTTTATAACACTTTAAATATCCTGGTGGATAAACAAACNTGTTGCAATTGTTTCTGTAGAAATTAATTCTGTTTATTTCAAATGTGCTGTAACAAATTTACTTTTATATGCTTTTGTGGTGAATTTTGTTCAAGTATTATATTCGAAAATGTGTAATAATCTAAATATATAAAATTACTTCTTCTGAATGACTGACTGAGTGATTGATTAATCATCGCCCAGAGCAAAAGTTGTGGGGTGTGGAGTGGGAAATCAATTGATGACCTTATACGTGACCTTACAAAATAAGGACAAAAAACTTAATCTTAGTAAACAAACATGTTTTAATTTCTCGCAACGACCAATAAAAGCCCGAACGAAGAGATGGCGGAACAAAGTCTCACAAAAAATAACAAATTGACAGTTGAACGGTAGACGTAAAGTAATAGAAAATCCAGCAATCTCATCTGAAAGGGTTAAACAACACGTAGAGACTTTCTAGTGTCTTTATTCCGCCTAAAATTATTTCAGATTTCTTTTGAAAAGCAGATACAAAACGTTTATCAGAAGTTGATTGAAATAAAAGCTTACAAATAAACTGATATTCTCAAAAATAACTATTTAAAACGTCTGTTGGCGTGTTTTGATCTGGAGTTGCTCTCATCATGGCTGTCTTGAAAATTGGTCTTTATTGGTCAAATCAAAGGAGTTTGCAAATCGACATAGTGCTAAACAAAAGTGTTTTGTTATCAAGAACACCTCTAGGTAAACGTTTGCGTTCTTGGTCTACCAGAAGTGCTGTTAAATTGAGAAACACCACGAAGAACTTGGATGAAGAATTATTTTTAGAAGAAATAAGAGGTATATTGAGCGAAATGAAGGATGCTATAGAATTAAAAATAGAGACGGAATTGCGTTTAATAAAAGACAATTTCGTGCAAATGAATGATAAGATGAATATATCGACAAAGAGAATCAACAAATTAGAGTCCGTTTATGTGTGCGGACCTGACTGTAACAATATGCAGGTTTTTACTGGTCTATCTAAAAGAGTCAATCTAATATAAGGAAAAGAAATTTCGTAGATATGATGAAGAAAATTAGAATTGTGGTAAATAATAATGTCAGGAGTTCAAGTGCCAAATCAAAAACACAGTACGTCCGTTTCCGATAGTGAGTCGACCATGATCACAATACACAAGAATATATGAGTACGCCGAGTACTGAAACTGTCCAACGTAGGAAGACGAAAGTGTTCGAGTAAATAAAAAACAAATAAAGAAGTATGTAAGAAAAAGAGGACAAAAAGCGCGAAATTTGGAAACAACGATTGCATTATTAGACAAAACAGTACAATGAGATGATAGGTTAAACGTGCGTGGAATTCGGTACAAGACGTAAAAACATAAAAAGAAAACGCTTGAACCGAATGCTTGGATGATCGATCCAGGTATTGTGATTTACGCAAAAAAATTACTATACATAAAAGTTTATTTGCGTAATTATGTAAAGGGTTTGCGGCTCGTTTATGCGACATAAGACCCAATAAAAACAGCTGTACTCCAAGTAAAGAAGTAGCCCAATGCGTTCTCAGAATAGCTATACAGTCTAACCGTCACACCAGTAAAATTATTTTTTTGAATACGAGAAAAATTCGTTGATTACACGTACACGACATACGTTTTATGTAAGCATACACGGGTATGCTTACATAAAACTATCAAGCTCCTGGGATTCGGAGTCAGGGCCGTGCGGTAGATTTTCTCAGTATGATGCGAGTCTTCGAAATGCCGCCCAGTTATTGTAGTCACATTGTCACGTGCAGTTCAGAAACTAGTTGAGACGTGTTCGCATACCTCGAATATAGCACTATTGCGCATCAAAACCAAAACCAGAAATCGCTTAAATGCATCCTATGACTTACGCGTGGCTCTTTCAAAAAAAGAGCATTGTTTTAATAGAATTATTATTAATAAACAACAACAACCTAGCGATTAAAATTTAAATATTGCTTTTTATGTTATATAGTAATATATATTGTAAATAAACACGTCATTTGTTTATGCAATAAATGTTTTTTCTTAAATACACACATTTTTAAGTGGCTGAGAGAGCTTATTTTCAGATTCGAGGATGTGCCGACCACTAAAAAGGTTAAGAATCACACTGCTTTAGAAGCCGACGTTGCATCGTTCACAACTAGGTTTAAAGAATGACAAGCGCGGGGCACGTAAAGCGCCCTTGGATATTTTTCAAGTTTCTATTTTGTACACCCTTTCGTATTAGTTCCGTTGTCCTCTAAGCCACTTTAACTCGAAACCGAACTTTTCCAAATGTGTCAGAATAAGTTCTGTCAAACCCTCTCACAACTCTTATTGTTAATGACAGCTATTCGATATGACTTGCGTCTAAAATACAATCGACGATTATCGAAAAATATTTAGCGAATTCTGTTATTTCGACAATTTTGCTTAAAATTTCATTTCCTATCAAATTTATCAATTCATCTTGTATATTATTGCTTAGATAAGTCACAGACTTGCGTTGAACTCGTATTTTATCTGCCCTATTTTAATAGGTTAGATAAAATACGATAGAAATGAGTTGCAAAGCTAGTAACAGTTGTATATAACAGAATATAATCTTTATATATATAATCGAGATAGGTTAATAATAATAATCGCAGGGTCAAAACGGTTAAAAACTGTATACGTAATATTTCAGTTCGAAATGACGATTCAATGTCACTGACGTCTTAATTTATCGAGTTGTCACGTAGCAACAGTACAGATATCGACTATTACAAGTTCAGAATTCTGTTCTGTTGTTGATTCATTTCTAAGAATCTTACTTCTGAGAATCGCCTGTCGACGTAATTACAAGACTCATTGGACGAAATGAGGTGGATTATCTTTTTGCAATTCCTATTTCTAGGAGTTAATTCCTGTCAAGAATTTTGGCAACATTGGAAAAAAGTTTCCTGTCATGGGCAAACAGATGCTACGAATTAAAGAGCTTTTCCTCTGTTAAAATATTTGGTCAATCCTTATTAGTTACATGCGGCGAGAAAGCGATTGGCTTTAATTTGATGCGATGTTTGGATGTTAGAAATGTAAAAGAGATAAAATTCATTGACTGTTATCTGTCGGAGATTGACTTTGGAGTCTTCGCTTTCGGGTATGCAATCGAACACGTCGAGATATTCTACGAAACATACCGGCATAACAAAAAGTTCGAGAGCGCCTCGTTTAATAACATGTCCTCTGCGATCTGTCCAAATACGAGGCGTGAAGACGTCTGAACTTCTAAATGTAACATTTCGCAATGTTCGGTCGCTGACTTTATTGAAAATTACATTATATAACTTCACTTTATTTCCGAACAGGCCTTTTCGAGGGTTAATTAATCTTTCCGAATTATACATCTGGTATAGAAAATTAAGTTTCATCCGAAGATCTGTTTTATAATCTTTACAGTTTGAAAAAACTAGACTTAAGTGACAATAAACTTGAATCGATTCATCCACTCCTCTTTAGAAATCTCACTCGATTGGAATATTTGTATTTAAGTTGGAATGCGATAAAAGATTGACATGTTGAAAGGTCTTTCGAACTTAAGGACATTTTATATTACTAACAATCGAGAATTATCAGAAATTCCGTCTGGATTTTTTAAGAAACTGCATAACTTGACTAGAATTAATGCAGAATCTTGTTTTATTTCTTCACTCGAAGAACATGTATTTTTTTACAGAATTCTCTTGTTGGGAAAATAAAATATCGACACTTCATACAGAAATATTTCACGAACTTTCTGAACTACGACAGTTACATTTGTGGGGAAAACGGTTAGAAAATCTTCCCGAAGATGTTTTTCTGAATTTCTCGTCACTGCAAAGTCTCGATTTATTATTAAATCGCCTGACATTTTTACACGAAAACATTTTCCTCCCATTGAGTAATTTAACGTTTCTCAATCTATTTAACAACAATTTAAGTAAAATTATCGGTGAGCATCCTTTTGGCAGCAGCAAGCATCTAAATTATCTCCGTTTAAAGTACGTCGGTTTGACTCAATGGCCGGTGATAAATTGGACAGAATACAACTTGACTGAAGTCGATTTCTCATATAATCGTTTTGAAACCGTCAAATTGAAAATTTACACAACAAATCGCGTGCAAATTGATCTGTCAAATTCTGAAATCCGAACAATTTACATTTACATCGATGACAGGCAATATGGATTTGAAATGCAGACTTATAATTTAAGTAATAATGAAATCACTTGCGACCACAAATGCAACAATTTATTTTTGCCCTTAAGTCTAATATAGAAGTAGCAAGGAAAATGTTCCAAAATATAGAGAAGACGAAATGTTACGGAAAAGAAATAAATTTGCTGGATAATACATCTTTCGTAATCATAGGAAATAATTGTCCAATTAATTGCGACTGTTCTGCACAAGATAATCTCGTGATGGTCAATTGTTCCGGAAAGGGAATCGAGAAAATTCACGAAGTTCTCGTCCCCAATGCCACGATTGTCCATTTGAGTAATAATTATATAAATGACTTCTCAGATGTCGATTGTGTCGTGGAAAAACGTCACCCATCTGCGTCTGAGTAATAATTCGATAAGTAATATTTTTGATTATATTCTTTTGCTGAACCTGAAATTCCTGTGATTGGACGGAAACCGGTTAACCGAATTACCTTCCGGTTTAATGAACCTGATCGACGTTTCGTCGGAATTTAAGATTTACTTGTCTAGAAACTATTTTTCTTGCCATTGTGATTCTCTCATTACTAAGGACTGGTTGCTTAGAAACTGGCAGAAGATTGCAGATTTCTCCAATATTTTCTGCGCGAGAAATTCGTCTCTTGTGTCTTTCACCGAAATTGTTTCTAATTATCTATCGGCTGTTCGAACGAAATATCCGGTCAGCCCAGTCAACTCCGTCCATTTTTCCCTATTGTGCCACGTCTAATCTTCACCCACCTTTCTTCAATTCTCTTCGCCTACCTCTAGGTCTTGTTCTTGTTTATTATAACGATCGATGCTTCGCTCGAAGAAATTGGAAGTAGCGAGGAAACAGCTACATTTGAGGAAGATGTTCTTAAATGCTCTCGCGGTAAGTTGAAAAGTTAGATAAATGAACTAACTGTATTTCTAGAAAACACGGATTTAAAATTAAAAATGAGAAAAGTGAAATCGTGGACACGAGTAGGGATATACAAAGAACAACCGAAAAAAATGAAACCATTTTGAAACGAGTAGAATATTTTAAATATTTTGAAATTACGCTATGAAAAAAGGGGGCAGAGGAACAAGAAATAACTAGAATAATAAGACAAATCCAAATATTTTATCGAAGTTGCATCAGGCCTTTTATGAAATAACGAAGTCTTTTTAAAATGCAATAGACTTTTACATGAGATCTATTTTGTGCGGTATTATCACTTGCTTCGAAGACATGGATATTAAACAAATAAGAAACAATTAGAATTCAAACAATAGAAACGAAATTCCTGAAGTGAAAATTATGCTACACAAAACTATAAACTTTCCGAACTTTCTGTACAGAAAATATTGTTTAATTGTTAATGTCTAATATTTACTCGTGCTTAATTGACTGCTTTATTATGCAATAATTATACATTTTATAATATAATTCGTAATAAAACTGGACAAAAAGTATACAAAATTAATTTCAATGAAAGCAAAACAATTTATGAACAATTATTCATTACAGCGATCGAACACGGAATAACAAAATTTGTCAGGTGTAAACATTATAATAAATCACTTTTTCTTCCTTTGGCTTTGGAACTTCGTCGACGTTTCCTTTTTTGCCACAATAAACAAAATAAGCAAACACAATCCAACCGAATAACAATAGCGAAGTAAAAACAGAAACTGCGATTTTCCATCCAAAAACAGAACTAACTTCACCGAAACAATCTTCGTTCGAAGAAGAATCATTTGCTGAAAATGTCAAATTTATCTGTGGAATTTGTGTGCATCGATAATTAGAAACAATTTCGGTGAAAGACACAGAAGACGAATTACTCGCGCAGAAAACATCGGAGAAATCTGCAATTTTCTGCCGGTTTCTAAGCAACCAGCCTTTGGTAAATTGCGAATAACAATCGCAATTCCAATTGTTTCTAGATAAGTATAGTGTAAAATCCGCAGAAACGTCGATCAGGTTCATTAAACCGGCAGGCAATTCGGTTAACCGGTTTCCGTCCAACCACAGAGATTTGACGCTTGGCAAAAGAACACAATCCGGAATAATACTTATTGAATTATTACTCAAACGCAGATGGGTGACGTTTCTCCACGTAACACAATCGACATTTGACAAGACGTTTATGTAGTTATTACTCAAATCGACAAACGTCGCATTCGGGACGAGAACTTCGGGAATTCGGTCGATTCCCTTTCCGGAACAATTGACTATCACGTGATTTTGTTCGAAAAAACATTCGCAATTCATCGGACAATAATTTCCTATGACTACGAAAGATGTATTATCCAGCAAATTTCTTTCTTCTCCGTAACATTTCGTCTTCTTTATATTTGGGAACATTTTCTTTGCTAATTCTATATTTGACTTAAGGGCAGAAACGAATTGCTGCAGTTTGTTGTCACAAGTAATTTCATTATTACTTAAATTATAAGTCGGCATTTGAAATCCATATCTCGTATCATCGATGTAAATTGTTCTGATTTTACAGTTAGACAGATTAATTTTCATGCGATTTGGAGTGTAAATTGGCAATTTGACGGTTTCGAAACGATTATTTGAGAAAACCACTGTAGTTAGGTTGTATTCTGTCCAATTTATCATCGGCCATTGAGTCAAACCTACATCAATTAAATAGAGAGTACGGAGATGCTTGCAGCTGTCAAAAGGAAGCTTGCCAATAATTTCGGTTAAATTGTTGATAGATAAATCGAGAAGCGTTAAGTTAGTCAATGGGAGGAAGATGTTTTCGTGTAAAAATGTCAGGCGATTTACTGATAAATCGAGTCTTTGCAATGAGGACAAATTCTGAAAAACATCTTCTGGAAGATTTTCTAAACGGTTTATCCCTAAGTCTAACTCTCGCAGTTCAGAAAGTCCATGAAATATTCCTGTTGGAAGTGTCGATATTTTATTATTCCAACAGTAGAATTCTGTCAGTTGTTTGCTATTTCTCAGAAGATTTGGCGGGAGATGTTCAATATGGTTGTATGCTAAATCGACGTATTTCAAATTAATTAAGTCAGAAAATACATCTTCTTCAAGTGAAGACAAGGAACAACGATACGCAGAAAAATGAGTCAAGTTGTGCAGTTTTTTAAAGAATCCAAGCGGAATTTCTGATAATCTGCCATTTCCATGAATATAAAATGTCCTTAAGTTAAAAAGTCCTTTCAACATGTCATTTGGTAAATCCTTTATGTTATTATATTGTAATTCCAAATATTCGAGTTTGATGAGATTTCGAAAGACAAGTGGGTGAATCCATTGAATGTCATTGTAACTTAAGTCAAGTTTTGTCAAATTGTAAAGATTATAAAATAGATCTTCTGGTAAAACTTTTAACTTACCATACTTGATGTATAATTCGGAAAGATTAATTAACTCTCGGAAAGGTTTGTTGGGAAATAAAGTGAAGTTATAGTATTCGATTGTCAATGAAGTCAAAGACGGAACATTGCGAAATGTTAAATTTAGAAGTTCCGACGTCTTTGCGTGTCGTATTTCGACAGATCGCAGAGAGGACATGTTATTAAACGAGGCGCTCTCGAAGTTTCTGTTATGCCGGTATGTTTCGTACAATATTTGGACTCGTTCGATTGCGTACCCGAAAGTGAATATTCCAAAGTCAATCCCCGACAGATAACAATCTGTAAATATTATCTGTTGTACGTTTTTAACATTAAAGCATCGCATCAAACGAGAGTCAATCGTTCGGTTGCCGCAATATAGCCATAAGGATGGATCGAATATTTGAACAGAGGAAAAGTTCTTTGATTCGTGGCAGCTGTTAGCCGGTGACGGACAAGAAACATTTCCCCAATGTTGCCAAAACTCTCGACAAGAGTTTACCGCTAAAAATAGCAATTGAAAAACGATAACAAACCTCATCTCGTTCGAAGAAGCTTCTAATTATTTCGACGCGAAGAGCTGCAAAAACAGTCGACGAAAAATTCACAATAGCCAAACGGATTGAAAACACGATAAATTACGACGTCGATGACTTCGATTCGTCATTCTGAATATGACGTATGTAGTGTTTAATTTCCTCGTTTATTTCCGCTGCATTGAAAGGAGCAAGATTTGATTAATGTTAAATGAATTTTTTACGAACCAAAACTTTGTTTTACACATTTATTTCACGGGAATTGTTCGATTAAAGAAATTGATATTTTAAATATAATGTTACTTGTTTTCTTTCTCTAAGATGTTTCTGGATGGTGTTAATCAATCGTGTTTTGTGACACAAAGGAATGTTTCTGTGTGACTCCAGTTAAATTATTATAATTAAAATTTTATCATTGAATGTGAAATAAATATAAAATGTATTCGTTTCATATTCGTTCGATTGGGAATTTTTTCAATTCGTGAAAATGCAATCATATTATGAGAAAATGTAAAATATTTCTAGCGATTATTTTTAGTTTTTTCTCCAACTTATAATCGAAAATAAAAATTCCTATTTTTAAGTAGAGAAAATAGCAAAAAATTATTAAAAGACGCAGAAATGATTTCTTATGTGAACGAAACTGTGGCCATTTGTAATATTTAAAGCATTGAATCAAGTTAATAAAAGTACAAGATAAATGCGAAACTCTGGCCAATAATTTTTGTAAAATAAACAAATTAATCTTCGAATAAGGAACTTAAACAAATTGATGATGTATGCATTTAAAATTAATTAATACGAACGAAAGTACAAAGGAAACATGTTGAAGTTCGATAAAGAAAAATGCAGAGTAACAAACTTTAAAACAAAACCGAAACCGAAAACGAAAGTTGTTTAAAGACGAGGAAATAATTTAAACAAATGTCTGTAAATCTTTTACAGACTTAAATGTTCACTTTAGTTACTATCGGTAATTACTTTTTCTATCGTTGACATTTAAAGAAATAAATAGATAATTCTTCATCTTACGACTGATTTTTCGATAAGTAGTGGTCGTCATTACTACGTAGAAGTGTTTTTTAGAATGTGTATCGTACGTCATCACAAACGAGAAGTAAACATTGTTAGACAACGACGAGAAAATTTGCAACGCTAAGAGAAACATACGTCATCATGTTAAAAAAAAACCTCGGTGCTGACAATACTGTACTTATCACGAAGTCTGCATTTCGTCCCGATAATTCGTCAGATTTTATGAATAGTTTAAAGTTTTTACGGACTTTTTTCCCCACCAAGTATACAATATAACGAACCGCTGAGAGTATCGGTATAAAAATTAAATATCTTTGTTTTCGAGTAGATTCGTAAGAATTTTTTCATAAATAAATTAATTAATTTTTATAGTACGAGGTAACAGAAGAGAAAACTTCGTAGTCAAATCGCCGACAAAATTCACTTCCACTTTTATAACACTTTAAATATCCTGGTGGATAAACAAACAAAATAAATAAATTTATTAAATGTCAGCAATAAACTGCCCTAAACGGTTTCACAAACTGTATGTATGTCGACATGCCCCAATCAATTATTAAATTAGAATTCCACTTATTAAATCTGTACTTTAAAGCTTTATTTTTAAAACGAGTTAAATAATTATTTCTCGTTCTTACCAACGTATCAGACGTGGCTGTCGAATTTAACAAAGACACACGATTTTCGTAACCGTAACTTTCCAACAATGCCGACAATCGATTATCCCATACCGATTTGTGCGATAGTTAATACGACTTTGCTTTAACCGTAAGCTCACTAACGGGACATTTACCTGTCTATCTTAAGATACATTTATTATATTACATTTTATCAAAATTCTTTGATATTATAAATAGATTGTATAGAAGGGAACCCATCTCTATGAAAAATGGCTTTTAATAAACTTCGGTCGAATGGCATTTTTTCTTTCTGCCCGGGTAAAATCCAAATTTCCGAACCATAAAATATTGGCAATTCATTGAAAGCTTATCCGACCACGCTATTAATCTGCCAGATTTACACACTCGAGTAATCTTTTCTGTACCGATATACACTTAACAACTTGATTTAAATGTTAGAAAATCTTCCGCTCGATTGAAAAATTACTCTCGAATATTTATATTCATCTACTACTTTGATCAAATTATGCTAAATATACCACTTTTATCTTCAGAACGAACCCCTCCGTTACGAATCTCCATTAGATTTGTTAACATTAATACTAAGACATAATTTATGCGTGGCTTCTACACTGAAATTAATCATTTTTGTAGTCTTATTGGAGAATCTGCCGATATTACCAAATCATCCGCGTAAGTAAGAATCTTAACGTCACAACCTTCCGGATCACGTCCCGGTACTTCTAAAGACTTAATTCCTTAATAAATGCGTTATTATAGAAATTAAACAGAATTGGTCTTAATACTCATCCCCGTTTAACAGTACAAGTCTTCGAATTAGTATATAATTGGATTTGCCAATTAACGAATCTGTAACTTCTTCATAAATGTTGCCGTAAAATATCTCTGTTTAGACAATCAAATGCCTATTTCAAATCTACGAAAAAAGCGACAATTTTTCCACGTTTTCTCCTCAAAAGTTTTTGAATACAAGCGTACAATATAAAAATATTATCCAAGGTCGAGAATCCGGAGCGCAAACCACTCTGAAAATCTAAAAAAAAAAACCCGTAACTACCCAGCCACGTACCTAATCTCCTATACAGAATCCTATACAACGAGTAAGATAGAGACCACGTATAAAAAGCGTAGGGTTTAAAAGCTTCGATCTCCTATACTCGATTTTTCAAACTGCACCAGAAGTCGTTTGATGTTTTAAATAAGAATTGTGTAAAAACGAAAGACCGGCACAGCGAAGAGAATCGCTTGTATCGACTGTATCTAAAAGTAAACAAAGCCTGATGCAAGTCACGTGATTCAACGTTCTTCAACTTTCTGTACAACGTCAAAATTTGTGTTGTGGGTGTCGTAAATAGTCAATGCCAACTGATATTGCTAAAATACATTAATAGAGTTTTGTAAGTTGAACAATAGACAAACTCTTCATATTAAAAAATACAATAGAAGTAGCGATAATCGTTTTTTTTTTTTATTTATTATTTGATGAGCACGTATTGCGTGACAAGTAAACCGCGTGTAGAAAATTCCTATGTATAGAATTTTATAAAGGGAAAAGCAACATACAAAAATGTTGAAAAATAATTTAATTAAACTTTAAATAATTCGATTTTCGTAAGTATATTTTTGAATGTAACGTGTTTCACGTCTCAAGATTCCGTCTGACGACAATAAAAACTGATGCCGAAAGAAACTCGATTTTATACATTATAAAAAAATAAAGAAAAAAAATCTCTTTTACACCACAATAACTTTAATTAAAGATCTTTTATTACAAGCGATGTACTGTACTGTTACGTTATTTTGCACCCTATCTTACTTCAATCACTCACGACTTATTAACTAAAGTAATAAATGTAATTTATGTATTGATGAAAGTATATAAATCTATTGTATACATTGTATACAAAAATGATTGCTTGGAGGTTATAATTTTGTTTATAAAATGTATCTAAGATTTGTACTTTTAGATGATTTTAAATAAATTTCTAACTATAATTTGGAATAATTTAATCGAGTTTTACCCCAATTGAGTAGCGATACAATAAACAATTATTACAATATCAAATTATATATAGTCTCATCTGTGTAAAATTGCTTCTACTTATATGCAGAAATAGAAATACGTTGCAACAACCTTATACAAGGATTTTTTTAAGTAATTCTAACTTAAATTTATTACTTTAAAGCTAATATATTTGATTAAAGTGTACATGTATACTGTACAATAGTGTATCGAAGATATAAACAAGCAATATGGCTTCTTTCAGGGGTATAAATTTTCTTATATTTGAATGACATTAAGGTTTTTACAGTAAATATTACTTTAAAACAGTATTATATTTAAATTAAAATTAATGAGAAAGACACTTTCATTTTGTTTTTTATTAAAATTAATTTTTTAGGAGCAGTAATCCTATTTTTGGCCAGCCATTCGCTGCCTAATTTTCTACAACCATTTAAAGTTTAATTAAATTATTTTTTAACATTTTTATAAGTTTTTCCCCCTTTATAAAATTGTATACATAGAATCTCTTTAGACAATAGGCTATATATACAAAATATATTTCAAAATTATTTTGTATGGAGCATTATCTTCATATTAAAACCCTGTGAAAAATTTTAAAAAATCGAAAATATTTAATTTAAATATAAATAAGAGTTTTTTTGCGTAATTGTAGACACTTCTGAATAATATTGAGTAAACAAAGCGAAGTACCTTCAATATAAATTTTATTAGATCTTCACACGTATTAATTTGCTGAATTTTCACGCAAAGTGTGAGAAAAAATTGAATTTAATGAAGTAAATTCTTTATAAACGTAATAATTTATAAACTTAAGTGACTATTATCGTTGTGATTATATAGAACAGAAAACTTTAATTATTTCTAATTGGTCTCAAATACATGAATATTTATTTCCTTCAGACATTCCGGTTATTATAATAAAAACTCTTATCTCTCGCACACATTTAACATTCATTTCCTCCCGCTTTTATATATAAAAAATAACAAACAAGTTTTCCAGTTTATTAACAATCGAATTGTTAATAAACTTTGTGTAATTTCTGTTTCTATATTCGACACAGGTGCTTTCTCACAAGAGGGAATTGGTGTTAATGTTAGAATTACGACAATTCGACACTAAGACGATCTGTTTCCCAGAATAGTTTCTATGGAAATCTGATCCTTATTCACACGACACTAAAGCCCCAAAAATCTTACGCATTCCGCCTATCGAAGACACTCGGCCGGCAACCGTTAGCCTGTGTTCGATGGCTTTTATATACTAAACCATAGGTGGGTCATTGTTATGGAATTAAAAGACCGTTGCGAATTACATAGAACATTCACGCGATTACTTCGTCTATTCTCGAGCTTTGATTTTCGCACCCCTTCAAAATTTTGTTTTAAATTGTAGCATCGGCCGATCTTTCTTTCTTACCCCATCGGTACGTACTGTACCGGTGCCTGAGAACTGATTTTCTACGCTTTAGAGCAGGGGTGTCCAACCCGCGGCCCAAGGCAGATTCTAATGAGGCCCAATAAACGTGTAAAAAACCGACAAACTTTTTAATTTAATTTAATTTATTTATTTCAATGGCATAAACTATAAAAATGTTTCACAAATCCGTAAACCTTTATATTTTATTTTTAGTGAAAAGAAAATATTTTCAAATACTTGGAAATGTGTGAATGAGGAAGGAATACTAAATAAAGCTAAAGTTGAGACTCAAAGAATCATAGACCAAATTCGGTATAAGGAGAGAAAGGCCAAAAGATAAAAAGTAGTGAAAAAAATTAAATATACTTTCTGTTATGCAAATATGGATCCATAATTTTCCAACTTTCCTCACTTTCTTATCTTTTGTGTTTTCTCTTTTTCCCCGAATTTGGGTCTATTATCCTTTGAGTCCCAACTCCAGCTTTATTTAGTAAATAGAGCTCATACAGTTAGGAGTTGAAAGTTGAAATTTTGTACACAGGGTACTGTACGTCACCAGAATGCACACTAAAAAGGAATTTTTCGAAATTTCTCCCTGCAGAAGAGAAAAAAACGGTTAATTAAACTTAATTATGTTTCTCTGCAATCTGACTCATTTAATTTCAGTTTCTTATTCGAAAATTACTTTATTATTATTTTTCAAATATTTATAAATTATTTGCCAGAGTTTCGTATTTATTTTGTATTTTTATTAACTTGATTGAATGCTTCAAATGTTATAAATGGTGGCAGTTTCATTCACACAGGAAATAACTTCTGTGCGTTTTAACTATTTTTTGCTGTCTCAAATAAGAGAAACTAACCAATAAATCGCAAAAAGTATTTTATATTTTGTCATAATATGATTGAAATTTCACCGAATGAAAAACTCCCATCGAACGAATATAAAACGATTACAATTTATTTCATATTTATTTCATATTTAGTAATGAAATATTCCTTTGTGTCACAAAGCAATATTTCATCACTAAATATGAAACATATCGGTCAGAAACATTCCTTTGTGTTGCAAAACACAATTAATTAACACCATCCAGAAACATCATAGAGAAAGAAAATAAATAATATTGTATTTACAATATCAATTTGTTTAAACGAACAACTCACTTGTAATAAATGTGTGAAACAAATTTTGTATTCGTAAAATATTCATTTAACGTTAATCTTGTAGACTATTATTTATTTCACGGCAACGGAAATAAACCGGGAAATTTAAATCCGTATATGTCATATTTGTGTAGGAAATGACGATTCAATGTAACTGATGATATAATTTATCGTGTTGTCGTCGTAGAAACAGTAAGGATATCGACTATTCTGTTTTATTGTTGATTCTTTTCTAAGGATCGTACTTGTGAGATTCGCCTGTCGATGTAATTACAAGACTCATTGGACGAGATGAGGTTGGTTATCTTTTCGCAATTCCTATTTCTAGTGGTTAATTCATGTCAAGAGTTTTGGCAACATTGGGGGAATGTTTCTTGTACGTCATGGGCAGACAGCTGCCACGAATCAAAGAACTTTTCGTCCGTTCAAATATTTGATCAATCCTTATCTGTCAAGTGCGGCGCGGAAACGATTGACTCTGATTTGATGCGATGTTTGGACGTTAAAAATATACAAGAGATAACATTTACAGATTGTTTTCTGTCGGGGATTGACTTTGGAGTATTCACTTTCGGGTATAAAATCGAACACGTCAAGATAGAATACACACTCTTCGTGCACGAAAGAGACTTCGAGAGCGCCTCGTTTAATAACATGTCCTCTCTGCGATCTGTTGAAATAATAGACGTGAAGACGTCGGAACTTCTAAATTTAACATTTAGCAATGTTCCGTCGCTGACTTCATTGACCATCAAAAACTACAACTTCACTTTATTTCCGAACAAACCTTTCCGAGAGTTAATTAATCTTTCCGAATTATACATCACGAAAGGCAAGTTAAGAGTTTTACCAGAAGATCTATTTTATAATCTTCACAATTTGGAAAAACTGCGGTTAATTCTGAATAAAATTGAATCGATTCATCCACTTGTCTTTAAAAATCTCGTCAAACTCAAATATATGGAGTTAGATTTGAATAAAATAAAAGATTTACCCAGTGATATGTTGAATGGTCTATCTCACTTAAGGACATTTAATATTAGTTGGAACCGACAATTATCAGAAATTCCGTCCAGATTATTTAATAAACTGTACAACTTGACTGAAATTAATGCACATTATTGTTCTATTTCTACACTCGAAGAAGATGTGTTTTCTGACTTGATTAATTTGAAAATCGTCACTTTAAATTCCAACCGAATTGAACATCTCCCACCAAATCTTCTGAGAAATAACAAACAGCTGACACGATTTTCCTGTTCGTATAATAAAGTAGCGAAACTTCCGACAAAAATTTTTCACGGACTTTCTGAACTGCGAGAGTTAGACTTGCGGGAAAATCAGTTAGAAAATCTTCCCGAAGATGTTTTTCAGAATTTGTCGTCATTGCGAAGACTCGATTTATCATTGAATCGCCTAACTTTTTTACACGAAAAGATCTTCCTCCCATTGACTAGATTAACGGATCTCGATCTATCTTACAACAATTTAACTAAACTTACTGGTAAGATTTCTCTTGGTAGCAGCAAGTATCTAACTTATCTGAATTTATATAATACAGGTTTGAGACGATGGCCGGTGATAAATTGGACACAATACAACTTGACTGACGTGATTCTCTCAAATAATAATTTTGAAACCGTCAAATTGCCAATTTACACTCCAAATCGCGTAAAAATTTATCTTTTTAATTGTAAAATAAGAACAATTTACATCGATGACAGGCGATATGGATTTCAAATGCCGATTTATGATTTAAATAATAATAAAATCACTTGTGATCACAAACTGCAGCAATTCAATTTTGCCGTTAAATCAAATATAGAAGTGGCAAAAAAAATATTTCCAGATATAAAAGACACGAAATGTTTCGGAGAAGAAAGAAATTTGCTTGACAATACATCGCTCGTAGTCATAGGAAATTATTGTCCGATAAATTGCGAATGTTCTGCACAAGATCATCACGTGATGGTGAATTGTTCCGGAAAAGGAATCGAGCGAATTCCCGAAGTTCTCCTTCCGAATGCCACGATTGTCGACTTGAGTAATAACTACATAAAGGAGTTGTCAAATGTCGATTGCGTGACGTGGAGAAACGTCACACATCTTCGTCTGAGTAATAACTCGATAAGTAACATTTCGGATTATGTTATTTTACCAAACCTGAAATGTCTCTTGTTGGACGGAAACCAATTAACCCAATTACCTTCCGGACTAATGAACCTGATCGACGTTTCTACGGAATTTAAGATTCACTTGTCCAGAAACAATTGGACTTGCCATTGTCATTCGCGAATTACTAAAGACTGGTTGCTTAGAAACAGTCAGAAGATTGCAGATTTCTCCGATGTTTTCTGCACGAGAAATTCGTCTTTTGTGTCTTTCACCGAAATTATTTCCAATGAAGAATGCACAGAAATTGCAGAAATAAGTTTGACATCTTCAGTAAATGATTCGTCTTCGATCGAATATTGATTGGATGAAGTTAACTCTGTTTCTGGATAGAAAATCGCAGTCTCTGTTCTTACTTCGCTAATGTTAATAAGTGTAATTATTGTTTCTTTCTTTGTTTATTGTCGCAGAAAAGGAAGTGACGAGAAAGTGCCGAACACTAAGCAAGAAGAAGTGATTTATTATAATGTTTACACCTGCCTTAAATAGTATAATTAAAATGTTTCGTGTTTGAACGCTTTAATTAATAAATAATTTTTCGTAAATTGCCGTCATTTTTCATTTGCATCTATTGAAATTAATTTTCTATATTTTAAAAAATTATAATGTTTTATATAGTTTTTTGTTCATTTTCACTACGAATTATATTAAAAAATGTATAATTATTGCATGATAAAGCAGTAAATTGAGCATAGATCAATATTGTACTTGTATAATCAAATAATGTTTTCTGTACAAAAAATTCGAAAATGGAAGTAACATTTTTTCATTCAGAAATATTATCATTAAATTTTTAATTTATACAAAATATCGTTGACGGTTCTGTGGTTTTCTGTGGCATTAAACAGACTTCAAGAGTTTTATTTTCATTGTTTAAATTCTAAATTTTTCATATTTGTTTAATATTTATGTCTGGAAAGCATAGGATAAAATAGGGACAAAATAGATTTCGTTGTCCCATAAAAGGTCCCGAGCCAAAAGAGATTAGAAACCCATGTCCAACTATCTGATAGAAGACAAGAATGAAAGTTGTAGATACAAAAATTATCTCTCAAAATTTCTTGCATTTATCGACGTTCGAGGTTCCCCGAGCCAAAAAATGTAAAACGGAGTCATTTTTCTTCAATCGCCATACTTTCGCTCAGTTATAACAACCGGGAAATTGATAAATAAACAGTAAGACACGAATCAAAGTAATGGCTTGCAAAAATATCCCAAATCAGGCTTAGGATTGGCTATGATTTCGGACGACAACCGGAGCTGGCAAAGTAGTTACTTAGCGAGGAGTAACTAAACAGAACCCGGCTTCTGGCTCTTGACCAGGTTAAATGTCTTTTCACCTATTGGCAAAATACAAAATAAAAGTGAAATTTTTAGAGCTACGTCCAGGAAATCAGATCCCATAGGACCTGTGGGATACATAAAGAGGATAAGGACAGAGCACTTATTTCTACTTTTGTCTGTTTCTGCTTTGTGAGCAATAAGAGAGCCTTCTTTCTACATCCGTCATACAGGAAATGTTTTTGATTTGTTCTAATTTAAACTATTTGAATATGCTACATTTATGCTTAATTAGTTCGGTGATTAGTGTCGAGATTGAAAATCGCGAGATTTACTTCACACCATACGGAAACTGATTACGACCCTTTCGACCCGCCTTGGGGTAAAATAGTTTGTTTGACAATGTCAGTCCAAAAACTTTACAATAATTTCACTTCGTCACAAAGTGCCAACCCTTAAATGACAATTTAAGGATTGAATATTTCTAATTGGCCTGGGTTAGATAACGATAAACGGGACTTCTCCGTTGCAACCGAAAAGCCGACATTGTACCTCATCAGTCTAACGGTCGTTGTCCGACCTACTTTCTTCGAAATCAACATTAGAGTCTAACCTAGTATGACGTAGTAATTTATAGTAAAACGGTCTTGTATAATATTCGTAGTACTTTGTGAAGTTCTAATTACAATTTAATAAGTATTATTTTGTTCGGAATGATTAAAAGTGCATCATTAAGTAGAAGAATAACGTAAAACTTTATTTTTTAGTTTAATACAATTTACAAAATCAAAAGTCCGTACACCTTAATATTACAAACCTAGACCGACACATACAAAGTTAATTAATTTACTTAAATTTAATTCATTACACAACTGTCGATAGGCTCGCCTTCATCCGTTTCCTCATAGAAGACTCGTACACTTCAATTAATCCTGTAAATATTTCGAGTGCCGTTATTATTCGAATGATACATTATATCGAGCCTGAATTATACATTATTTGTAACTGTGATTACAAATATAACTGAGAAATATTTTCGATATAAACACTAGGCCATAATAATCAAAACGAAATTGTTAAAGCATTAATTTTTCTAATATTTATGATCGAGAAAGACGTAATAATACTTTTTTAATATAAATCTTGCCAATTTCTACGTATACTTTTTATATTCACCTTAATTTACATTCGTCTAATTATGCTTAATATGTATAAAAATATACCGAAAAATTAATTTTCTAATAAAGGGACTACTTGCTAATTGAACTTGGGAAAAAAATATCTTCCCACTAAATGGGAAGATATTAGACGTGTCTAAATAGCACGCTTATAAACACTAAAGAACATACATCGAAATTAGTACTTGTAGAATGCATTGTCAAAGGCAAGAAATTGTAAATATGATAACTTTCTTATGTTGGTCTCCGGTCGAAAAGAAGGATTATCGTTGAACTCGTCTCAATCCCGTGTTCAAATATATACTCAAAGTCCCGAAATTCCGTAGGAATTAATCTATAGTACAGCCGAAAATTAAGTCACGCGTGAGATTGTTGACGCAGACTGTCGGCTTTTCCGGAGTGCAGCGGATTCTCTCAAAAAAGTGTCATTCACAAAGGTTATGCTGCTTTTTCTAACGCGTGCCAATGATGAATATTGTTTTTAAAATTAAATGTAATGAATCTGAAGATGAGTATAAAAAGTAAGCAATCCTTTCATGATCAATCCTCTCACGAAGCAATCCTTTCCAATTTAATGAATTTACGTTTTCTCAATTTGTTTTAATTATTTGGGTGTTGTGGATATATTGGAAAATCTTTTACTATATTTGTAAAATGGCCACCGTCTCACGGACTACTCCGGTAGCTTTGCATTTTAACTGTTGTTGCTACCAACACCCCTTTGGAATTGGTGACTAGGCTCTCGGTGTTTCTCAACTAATAGTTACTCTTACACTACCGTGTTTCCCTGAAAATAAGACAGTGTCTTATATTAATTTTTACTCTGAAAAATGCGCTAGGTCATATTTTCAGGGAATGTCTTATTTTTTCCAGGAAGAAGAATTCACATTTATTATTGAACAAAAAAATTCCCAAGTCGAACTTAGACGAGAGTGACGTATATCCGGTGTGCAGTGGCGTACCGTAGTGGGGGCGGCAGGGGCGGCCCGTCCCGGGCGGCACTTTTTAGGGGGCGGCAAAATTTCACAATAAATAATAATAATATGTTGTAAAAATTTGAAACATCCTAATCCATGCTTGCATCGCGCCTACAATAGTGCTATCGTCCGGACAGTCCGGGAATCGGCTCGCCGGGTGAACTAGTAACTTTTTCATCCGAGGAGTTTTCATCCGAGGAGTTCCTGCGATACCTGTTGACCCCCTTTTTTTTGCTTGTACGATTCATTCGCGTTCATATACACCATTAATATCCAATAGAACTATCTTAATTAAACAGGTCGCTGCACTACAACCGAATTTTTCATTGCTTGTTCTGTGACAAAACTGAATTTTGTTCTTTTAAATTGAAATACCTAAATAAGGGGGACCGAAATTTTCCTCCGCCCCGGGCGGCTGACACCCACGGTACGCCACTGCCGGTGTGTCGAACTGTCGCCTTTTTATAATGTCAACATCGGACTCGATGACCAATTAATGCTTACTGAACCGTAGCACTATGCAAATGTCATGTGGCGTGATTCCCGGTCGATCAATTAACGGCGTATAGAGATTAATCAAATCATTAATATATATATTGAAAAGCGGTGAACCCGAGATCGAACCTCGAGGAACGCCCTTATTTGGCCCGAAAGAGCTACAGATAATCTGTCCAATTTTTACGAAGTAAATTCTGTCTGACAAGTATGATTTTAACCGGCTTAGAGGAGTCCCTCTTAGACAAACAGTTTATACTTGTATATTTAATCTGTGCTCCTTTCTTTTTTTTCTTCTTTGGCAAAGGCTGTCAAATTTTCTTAACTTTTCGTGTCAAAGGAGGTCGGTTATCCATTATACAAATATCAGAACCTTTCGGTTTATACGACATACTTCTAATGTTAAATCGATCGTTATAATCCAAAACTTTACAAAAACTTAATCCATTTCTTCCAGTCTTACGATATCCCAATCCAATGTAAAAAATTATTGATTTGAGTCGAAAAACTAATATTGTATTAATTCGGAATTTCAAAGGAGAATTAGTTTAGGGGTTGTCCGTAAATGACGTCCACGCTGGAAAAAGGGAAGAGTTACGAAAGTCGGTCCTTAACTGGTGTGTAGATTACGTCACACCTGCCGAACGAACCGGTTTCTCGCTTCCATCCTTCCTCTAGTCTCTTTCGTGTCTCGTGTCGTAACGTGTGGCCAACGACTTAATTTCACAAATTGCCATTTCGTAGGATGACGTAACTTCGAATTTTCTGATTGGGTAAAAATATTAAAGTTTTACATACGGTGATTTACGACGTTAAGTCGGTAGACAGAGTATAAGTAACGAACATAATCGATATTTATACAAGACCAAAGACCAATAAATCACTACAGAAGGACGATAAATTATTTATTCAATTATTTAAATGCCAACGACAGACGAAGAGATTACCGGTAGAAATGAAAGTAATGTTTATTCTTTCGGATTTCCCTTTATTCGAGTTCAATACACTTCCCTTGTTATTTAGTACTTAAACACAATTATTTTCGTACGTAAACTGCTCGGATCGATTTTAGTTTAAATTACATTTTGTCGAAACATAAATTAAATTTTTTTGAATAAAAAATTTCGCATTCGAACGAACGTAAAATCAAGAAATTTTATATTTATTTCGTATTTACCAGGGAAATTCTTTTAATAATATAAGTGACGTCACTCAGAAACATTCCTTCGCGTCACATAAAACAGTTTCTTCTATCGTTGACGAAAATATGGCAAAAAAGTTGTCTTCATTTACAATAACAATTATTTTAAACCAGGCAAACTAACAAACTCGCGGCCACTCTTACGAAATATCCAGCCAGGATACACGTTTAACCTTATAACTTGTTTTTGCGACAACTGCACCAGGAAAAAAACGAGAAAATTACAAACGCTTGCGTAATATTTCTGTAGAAATCGACGTCGCCGAGGTCACTTTTTATTGTGTTGTCGACCACCGGCGACGAAGTATCTATAATAGCCGCTTCGTAAATTACGATTCCAGAGTTCTGTACTTTTGTTGATTATTTTTCGACATATTTACCACAGATTCGTGTGTCGAATGGATTAGAACCGTCCTTAGACGAAATGAGGTGGGTGTTCTTTTTTCAATCCCTATTTTTAGCAGTAAATTCTTGTCAAGAGTTTTGGCAACATTGGGGAAAGGTTTCTTGTCTGTCACCGGCAATCAGCTGCTACGAATCGAAAAACTTTTCCTCCGTTGAAATATTAAATCAATCTTTATCCATCAAGTGCGGCAAGGAGACGATTGACTCTCGTTTGATGAGATGTTTGGAAGTTAAAAATGTACAAGAGTTAACATTTAGAGATTGTTTTCTGTCGGGAATTGACTTTGGAATATTCACGTTTGGACATCGAATCGAACACGTTAATATATGGTATCTATCAATCCTGTATGAAAGAAACTTCGAGAGCGCTTCGTTTAATAACATGTCCTCTCTGCGATCTGTGGAAATACGAGGCGTGAAGACGTCGGATCTTCTAAATTTAACATTTCGTAATGTTCCATCACTGACTTCATTGAAAATTGAACGATATAACTTTACTTTATTTCCCAACAAATCTTTCCGAGAGTTAATTAATCTTTCCGAATTATACATCACTTATGGAGAGTTAAAAGCTTTACCCGAAGATCTATTTTATAATCTTCACAAATTGACAAAACTAGACTTAAGTAACAATGAAATTGAATCGATTCATCCACTCGTCTTTAGAAATCTCACCCGATTGGAATATTTATATTTACAATGGAATCGGATAAAGCATTTACCAAATGACATGATGAAAGGTCTCTTTAACTTAAGGACATTTTCTATTACTAAGAACCGAGATTTACCAGAAATCCCATCCGGTTTCTTTAATAAACTGCACAACTTGACTGAATTTTCTGCAGGGGGTTGTTCTATTTATTCACTCGAAGAACACGTGTTTTCTGACTTAATTAATTTGAACATCGTTGATTTAAATTCTAACAAAATTAAAGAACTCCCGCCAAATCTTCTAAGAAATAACAAACTACTGACACGATTTTTCTGCTCGTTTAAAATAATCTCTTCACTACCAACAGGAATTTTTAGTGGACTTTCTGAATTGCGATCGTTAACGTTGCGGGGAAACCGGCTACAAAATCTTCTCGAAGATGTTTTTCAGAATTTGTCGTCATTGGAGACTCTTATTTTATCAGAAAATCGCCTGACGTATTTACACGAAAGCATCTTCCTCCCGTTGACTAAATTAAACGATCTCGATCTATCTGAGAACAATTTAACTAAAATTATTGGTGAACGTCCGTTTGGGATCAGCAAACATCTGAATTATCTGAATTTATATAAGACAGGTTTGACACAATGGCCGACGATAAATTGGACAGAATATAACTTGACTGAAGTGATTTTTTCAAATAATCGTTTCGAAACCGTCAACTTGCCAATTTACACTCCAAATCGCCTGAAATTTTATCTGTCTAATTGTAAAATCAAAACAATTTACATCGACGACAGTCAATATGGATTTCAAATGCCGACTTATTATTTAAGTTTTAATGAAATTACTTGTAACTACGAACTACAACAATTCGTTTTTGCCCTTAAATCAAATATAGAAGTGGCAAAGAAAATGTTTCCAGATATAGAGAAGACGAAATGTCACGGAGAAGAAAGAAATTTGCTGGATAATGCACCTTTCGTAGTCATAGGAAATTATTGTCCGGTAAGTTGCGAATGTTTTGGCAAACAAAATCACGTGGTGGTGAATTGTTCCGGAAAGGGAATCGACCGAATTCGCGAAGTTCTTCTCCCGAATGCCACGATTGTCGACTTGAGCAATAATTATATAAACGAGTTGTCAGATGTCGATTGTGTGACGTGGAGAAATGTCACCCATCTACGTTTGAGTAATAATTCTTTAACTAATATTTCTGATTATGTTCTTTTGCCAAACCTGAAATTTTTGTGGTTGGACGGAAACCGGTTAACCGAATTGCCTTCCGGATTAATGAACCTGATCGATGTTTCTCCGGAATTTAAGATTTACTTATCACGAAACTACTTGACTTGCGATTGTCATTCGCAATTTACTAAGGACTGGTTACTTAGAAACAGGCAGAAAATTGCAGATTTCTCCGATGTTTTCTGCGCTAGAAATTCGTCTTCTGTGTCTTTTATCGATATTGTTTCTAATGATGGATGCACAGAAATTTTGGAAGTAAATTTGGCATCTTCAGTAAATGATTCTCCTTCGAACGAATATTGATTGGATGAATTTAGTTCTGTTTCAAGATGGAAAATCGCAGTGGCTATTCTTACTTCTCTAATGTTATTAGGTGTGGTTATTGTCGTTTCTATTGTTTATTGTCGCAAGAAAAAAAAATGTAGAGAAAGTGCAGGAAGAAGAAGTGTTTTATTACAATGTCTACACTTGACGAATTTTCAAATACGACAATTTAAATATATCCAGTTTTATCAATTTAATTACTACTTGCCAATAAATTGTTATTATTTTGCATTTGTTTCTATAGAAATGATTTTGTTTACAGTCGACCCCCGTATAATTACGGTCCCTATAGTTACGATTCCTATAAAACTACGAAAAAATTGCTACCGGTATCCGTAAAAAATAGTAAAAGTTCCCTATAAACAACTCAAACGTCATCGGGAAGCCGAACTACTTTCCCGCCGTCCGTAGCGCCACGCTACGGAGAGATTTCTATCGTCTGGACAGTATTATATAAATTATATATAAATTAGGTACTGTACATATAATTATATATTAATTATATATAAATTAGGTACTGTATATATAATTATATATTAACTTATTGTAACTTTGTTATAATTAAATATATAATTTCCGCCGTCTAGCGTGGCGCCACGCTACGGAGATTTTTACGCTAACTATCGTCTGTCAGTATGTAAATTAGGTACCGTAAGTCTAATACAGTACTGTAATTTTATACATTTCTTGTGAAAGAAACATTTCTTATTCAACGGCGATTAAAATTATTTATATTAATGATGTCTCCGAAGTTC